ATTGAAGTATCATCGGATGAACACCATCCACAATAATTTATTGGACGTATTGATAGTTAGATACACAGGAAACTACGGTTAGAAAAAATAAAAAAAACAAAAGTTAGTGTGCTGGCGGAAGTTCGGATAAGTCTTAGCTCGACGGCGATGACTCTCATTTGTTTTAATTAGGAGTCGAAAACCTCGTTCACTCTCGATACACTTACAAAGCGAGACGTCGACCTACTCTCGTGCCTACATCTTTTTACAGCGTCCTTAACCGCACACGTAATGTTCTAAATACAAGTCCTTCTGTTGAACAACTCCTTTATTAATAAAACGTTTCGTGGCCTTCCAATTCCTGGTACTTCTCTGTAAAAAGGTTCAAAATCTAGTCGATGTAGTAGAGTTGCCTGAACTGACCAGACGCATACACTCCACACACAAAGTCTACCCCGTCAACCCCCGATACCTGTCCGTTTTTTTTCGCCGTCAACTGTCGAAGCTAGCCGTCTTCGGGGTTTACATCACCCGTTGCGGTGACGTACAGGTAGCCCTCCGTGAAATGTGTAATAAATTTTTTTTTTAACGTTGTCACCCCAGGGCGGTCCTCCTATTAACGATATACCCCCAGGAACCCGTTCCGTTTCAAACCCTTGGGACAGGATGTGATTATATGTTTCGATAATAATATATACGACACACATGGAACACACGGGCGGATCACCAATTTCGTGTAATAACTTAATGAAAACAACTTATTACAATAAACCTACTTTGGTTTTATAATTTCTCATTGTATGAAAAGTATCCCTCTTTCATCTTCCAGGTACTATCCTTATATTTTATATTTTTTAGTCTTCTATGACAATTAGATGTTATTTGTCAAATCACGTGCTACATGTTTCTCTAATAATTATACTCCTACACGTTTGTCTGTTAGATTAATTGGAAAATAATTGTGTACATTTATGATGAAATCCAATTCCAGAAGAAGGTTTATTCTTTTTTCGAAACCCCCATAGATAGATGTCTATTTATAATTCGGATGTTTCATCGAATTGCAGTATTAATATAACGAAAGGACGTTACAATTATACAACTTCGTGAATAAATTTGACTATAATATGTGTAATTAATACGAGAAAACCATACATTATCATATTCTTTCGACGTCTAAACTGTCAAATTACCACCTCCCATAAGTGTATAGCTATCTACAGGAACATTACGTGACAACTCCTTTGGACGCTGGGTTCAAAAAGTAAGTAACGTATTGAATGTGGCATCAACACATATCTATACAGTTATTTGGAATCTTTTAGACACTTTCCCTACCAGGTTTTATTATATGTCAAAAATTAATTGATAATATCACCTCATTACTTATATGAAATATCCTCTAGACTGTCTATTTTACAAATCAGAAAGTTCGTTGTTGATAGTTTATAGAAGGAGGGACTAACACCGTGAACTGTCAGTGGAAGGGATTAAACTGAGTCACATTGATTTCAGCCGAAATTCCCAACAAATATAAAGTGTAGTAATTAGTCTTAGACGTTTGCATTGATTTTATTTACATCACCTCATTTTTATGGTCCAATTGAGGACAGACTTAACATCACTTCATCTTAATGTTCATCGTTACTCGGACAGTACACCATATAATAATTACGACGAGTAATAACCTATGTTGGCTAAAGTGGGTAAATCATTAATGTACAAAATTTAAACAATGTGTGGGTTGACACAAGAGGATAGCGGATTTGGAGGTCCCCTACATGTGTCAAATTATGACAGTTGAAATTAAAACCCCTTTTGCTTTTACAGAAAATTTTCATGTTAAGGGACAATCCTCACCTGTACGGTATCTCTTGTATAACGCTTTGTGTTATCGGTCGTACTACATCAAGACCCCCCGCAAGGCTCACGGTCAAAACTTATCAACGGCACAAAGCAAAGGTAAGTTTCTCGAACCGCAGCCGCATTGGAACCGCGTGACGGTGAGGTTGTGGTTAGGGTCTCCGAACTTCTAATTAGTGCCCAACAGTTGCCCTGACATCAGGGTTTGCTAACGACCCCTAATCACCCATCACAATCATAGAAGCCGGTAGGATTTGAGACTTAAAAAAAAGCCCTATACATATAGCGTAATTGGTGGTGATAGGGTTGCACGTAACCGCCGATTTTGTAGGACTCGAAGTTCGACTCCTAGACCCAATTAGTCAATGGCCAGATGCCAGACAAAGGCCACGGGTTCTAATAATCCCTAATTTTTTTATTTATTTTTATGAAATTTTCACCACTTGTCACCCCCAGAGACCTTTACGAGGAAAAAAAAAAGGACGTAAGTAGGGGATAGCCGGTTATCTACCCTTGACGTCAAACTCCGTGAAGGAATAACAGGAGGGCCGAGTGACGGGGTCTCAAACGGCGGAACCAGAACAGGAAAACTAAATGGGAAGACCACATTAAATCAGAACAGAGGGGACACGAGGTACAGCCAAGCAACAGAGAAAGGACCAGTGCGAGCGATAATGTACCTTTTCAGTTATTCTCTGTCAAACTCCTGTGGCAGAAAATCATTTTATCTCTCATCAAATATGGCAGAAAATATGCAGTTTGACAGAGGATTAAAACTGTAATCTGAGCTCCGTTACACACACACACACACACACACACACACACACACACACACACACACACACACACACACACACACACACACACACACACACACACACACACAGGAGCGGGACATCCTTCTCAACCTGTCCGCCATAAATGCCTCAGAGGACGGATACCTGAACCGTAGCGTCCAGCTAGCTTAGCCGCTAGCTTAGCCGCTAGCTTAGCGATAAATACACACAGCGTTGTATTCTCCTCCCCCTGTCGGCCCTAAAAGCTTCAGAGGGCGGATACCTGAGCTCCATAGCGTCCCGCTAATGTGAAACACACACACACAGCGTTAGCGAGACATTCTCCTCTCCCTGCCAGACTAATCGTTCGCGAACGTGCAAATCACCAGAAGTCGTTCGCGAACCGGTGAACGAATCAGTTAACGAATCTTTAAAGTGAACTGAATCAAAAGATGTGTGTCCCCGAAGGGAATCGAAATGCCCATCACTAGTGTCATATGGGAGCACCTTAGACAGGAGAAATGCTGTGACCCTGCTGAAGGGGAGCTAGGGCAAGACGCTTATCATGTTGATGTAAAATATTTGTGTTGTACTCCTGTTATCACTTTAGAGCCCTTTTAGAACTTATTGTTTAATTTCAGCGCCCCACTCTCCATTGCTGTTTATGTTGAAAATAAAACAAAACTTTTCATAACCACAATATTTTAACTAATTTAAATGCGGAAACTGGGGTTATTCATCAGAATTTCGCATGACTTGACTTGTGACTTGCTTGACCTGAGCAATAACTTGACTTGACTTCAGTGTTGCCAACTTGGCGACTTTCCCGTTAAATTCGGCGGCTTTCCAAACCCTCCAGCTACTTATTTTTGTCAAAAGCGTCCAACGAGTAATTTAACGACTTGTAATGGTGTTATTAGGGACTTTTCTGGTGTTTGGAGACTCACATATTGTTCAACAGTTAACGAGGTGCTGCCGTGAGCCCCTCTGCCCTCCCATAGTACTCACAGGCGCTCAGACTCACAGTTGCCTCCCGCAGCAGCTCAGCTGCAGTCAGAGCAGAGAGGAGACAGCCACACTCTCCCGCGTCGAGACTGCAAATGAATTGCGCATGAGCGGGATTTAAATGTAAAATGTAAATGTTTGTCACTGTTACACTATAATAAATAACTGCCTTTGCTTTGCTTTGACTCACACAGCCTCAGTCACTTAATCACCTCGTCCACTGTGTGTGTGCCTCTGTGACAAGCTAAACATCCACGCAAGTCATCATGTCAGTCTATAAACTATTCACAAAAGTACAGAAAGGAGTGGGAATCAAACCCTGAGTTTAAAGGATGGTTGAAGCCATTTATTGGAGATGACACACGGGCATACTGCCTTTATTGTAAGGGAGATTTCTACTAAAAACTATTAAAACTATTTCTACTTTCTCTAATAGATGCATTTCTGATCTACTGTCGTCTGGATTTACTCTGGTTTCAAGTTTTGATCCTCCTTTAAGGGGGTGGAACGTTTTTTTTACCGCCATTACATGATATGCAAATTAGACAATGACGTCATTTAGGGACTTCTGGCGACTTTTCGGACAGCCAATCGCTACTTTCCTTACCATGGAGTTGGCAACACTGGCTGAGGGTGGACCTTTATATATAGGCTATATGTAAAGACATTTGGTCAAATGAAATGACACTGAGCAAGTGATAACAGCAACGCCCAGCGTGGATGAAGCTGGTGCAGGCCTTTCTTCATGCCAAATGATCAATACTTACATATATTTTCACTTGTAGTATTATTGCAATGCTGGTTCTTCTGGGGGTCTTCTGTCCACGCTCAGCTGAGCTACCGCACCGCAGCTGCCTGCACTGTACAATCGCTGGAGGACTCCGCACCCCTGAAAGTCCCGCCTACCTGGGACGTTTGTGTCAGAATTGAAAACAAAAAATGAGGGAGCGCAAATGAGAAAGCTGCAGCGAGAGCAAAAGTCTCATCATTGAAAAAGAAGCAAAGCGAACTGCAAACAAAAAGATGTGTTAAAACAAAGAAAAAATACTTATACTTTACATGATTACACAAATGATTTGTTTGCAACTTATAGTTTTATTTTTTAAATTACATTTATTTTGCTTGACTCAGTTTTTTTTCTCTTAAACTCTTAGTTTTGCTTGATTCTGAGAAAGTGTTGCTTTATCTTTATGAAACAAAACTAACCCCATAATAAACCGCTGTGTTACTCTCCTGTATTGCTTTTTGCCTAGAATCATTGTCCTACTTAAGAGAAAAGCTTTCTCCCAAGCTTCAGTTTTGAAGCACACTGAAGCAGTTTTTTTTTTTGCAGTATCTCCTTGTATTTTCCCCATAAATCTTTTTTTCAATTTTGACAAGCTCAGTCCCTGCTGATGGAAAGCATCCCCACCTGCCACCAACATACTTAGAGATGTGTTTTCCTGAGGCCTTGGCATTGTTAGGTTTGCACCACACATGGCGCTTTTAATTTTGCCAAAAATCTCTATCTTTGTCTCATCAGACCACAAAACCTCGCACATGGGAGCTGGATCACCCTCATGCATTCTGTCTAGGTGAGAAACTCCCCCCTTTGGAACCTTTGATCTTAAATCAAACAGAACAACATTTTAATGTATCATTTGTAATCCAGACGGATCTAGTAATTCAGATACAGACAGAATTACTGTTAAACGTTAATAAATAAATATCGTCTCTCTATCTGAGTGTGTGCTTTGTTTCTTGTTGCCCATTGTTTGTTAAACCACAGAACCCCAAGCCTACTTAAACAGATTTACGACTCTTGCACCACAGTACAAAATAAACTACGTAAGTCGGCCTATATAGTGTGAGTGTGTGTATCCTGTGGGATCCTGATTTTCTTTGCAAAACTATCAAACCCACTTCAGTAGCGTGGCGTGGGGAAAATATTAGGGGAAGCCAATAATACGTCCTACGTACTTGCTTCAGTTGCTTGCTACTTTCTAACGGCGGTGAGAGTGGTGCAGTGACGCTATCTATCTTCTATCGATTAGATTTATGATTCGAAAATTATAAAAGTAGGGTAGACATGTGGATATTATCCGACTGAACAAAACGTGCATTTACCTAACAGGTTCGTTTTCCACTGACCTTTTTTCGAGCTATTTTCCAAAATCCTATGGAGAAATCCCATTGCTTTTTTGTCGAGGGAAACCGAGCGCAGCTTACTTCCGCTTTTTGGGACGCGTCACTGCACCACTAAATTGATGCGATTTGATTGGATTGTGAGGCAAGGGAAGCCAGCCGCCTCTGGCTTCCCTTGGCATGGCCCTGACCAATCACAGGTTGGCAGGGGCATGACGTGAGCCTCATCTGATTGGTCAATCCCTCCATTTTTTTTCACCAAGGGAAGCAAATTTCGGCTGGCCTCCTCTCGCAACAGAGAGTGCAATCTACTGTTTCACCATAACATCTAGAGGGGCGCTGTTTCACTCTTTGTAAAATACTCAATGAGAATGGGGGAGAGACGGGCCAGCAGCAACACACAACAAAGAATTTCCGAAACTAAACGAAGTGTTTTTATTTATTTATTAAAATTATAACTACAATCCGAAAAAACAGGGGAAGCCTGGCTTCCCTTGGCCTCCAGGAGAAAACGCCACTGACTTCTAGGACAGTATACATGCTGCTACCATGGTGACTTTATGCACTCTGTATGAACAAAGATTGTAAAACACTTTGTGACAAATATAGCGAAGTGACCTGATAAAAACAGTGTGTATCTTCATTTCAAAGGTTCCGCTTACTGGGAGCTGTAAAAATAGCAACATGTTCGCAGTATTTGACATCCTTCTCTCTCTCAGGAATGAGACCGAGATCCTTTTTACGGATCTTTAGAGTGTATGATTATTGACCCTGAATCTAGCTTCCTTTTTTACTTGTATTCATTTACAAGATGGGGACTGAGAAAATGGAATTTCCTGGAAACTGGTAACGGTATGGAAAGTATATGTGTACTTGGCATTCAAATTACAAAATGTAATAATTATTTAAGTTAAGTAAAGCATTCAGATATTGAAAACCCTATTGGTCTCTGTCAAACAGTAGTGAAGAATAACAAACAAAAAGTAAAATAACCATACTGAAAATGTCTCCATACCAATTAAGAGGCTGCACAGTATTATCATAAAAGTGAACAAAGTATTCAAAGTAAAATATTAGACATGACATATATCAGGTATCCTTGGCTTTTATTGAGTAATTATTAGATAGCATTATTATATTTAATAGCAATTATTTGATAAACTATTACTATAATATTCGACAATGTTTCATATTTGATCAGATCATGACATTGTAAAGTAACTATAAATGTCAAATAAATATAGATGCAAAAGTACAACATATCTCTCTGAATTAGAAGTCTAATGTTGCATGAAAGGTTATCACGTACTAAAGTAAGTTACACTAAGGGATTTTCTACTATCATAATAAAAGCAATATGAGTTCAATATCTTATTATGGTGAAACAGTCTTCTTCTGAAATATACCAGTGATTTGTGGTAAATAAAACCCTCTTGTATGTTGATTTTGTTAAAGGAGCTTGCTTGTTACAACCATTGGTGCTTGTTTACATTATTGCAGAGCATTTTGACTGAGTGGATGATTGTGCCGAGAGTGGCTTAGAAAATCTCTGGCCCCCCCCTTTCAGCTCTACTTAGGAGCAATAATGTTATATAATATGACCATCTGCTCTTCACGTTGGTTTAAAAGTCCCATAATGTGACATAGCCATGGTGAATGCCAGTAAACACATGAATCAGGTGATGGATGTAGAACATTTCACAATACATTTTCATTTTTAGCTCCATTTTAATTTATAATTGTTTTCCTTTTGTTTACGTGGCAAAGGATGCTTTTGATATTTTGGTGTGATAGCTTGCTTGCCTGTGCCTGCTCTTATGATGCTGGGCTGGTGCAAAAAGAATAGGACTGAGGCACAAGCTGCAGTCACAGATGAAGGACTGACGTAAACCTATCCTCTTCTTAGAAATAAAACACTACACTGGAATGTGTCACTGTTTTTGTGTCCATGTGACAGAAGCTCTCTCAATCACTGGACATCTGCTATCAGACTGCAGAGCCAAACCGTTAGAAACGATAGGAAATTACGACTATAGTGACATCTAGCGGTGCTTTCTGGAACTGTTTTGATAAAGAAATCCACTGTGTTTATGTAGTATTCTACAATTTCATTAGTAGGCCATCTAGGCGGCAGCATAGGACCAGTGTTACTCATGCAATGTAATTTTAGAAGCAAACAACATTACATTAGATGTTAGTGAGCTGTGAATGAATAATACATGAACGACAAAGAGGCTTTTACATGTGATGATGTCCAAGTATTACTAAAACAGCATAAACAAATAGTTTTCTTTCAAATTAATGTGTACGATTTTAACCTGAGCCTGAATGTTAATTTTAAATAGGAACTCTTTCATACCCTCTTTTTTTGTACTCAATCAAGAAACAAATTGATAAAATACATGAATTAATGATGAATTAACATACTGGCCCATGTGGTAATCAAAGCCTTACCCATCAACATCAATCAATACAAAACAACAACATACAAATAAGTAGGCTACATAATAATAATAATACATGAACCACAATTATTACAAGAACAATAATCATTAACCTTCTCACTGTAGTATGTTTGTTCATCATTGTTATAGTCCTTATGGATTAAATGTATATGAAATTAGATATGTCTTTGTACTATAAATCTATATTTTTGATGTATTTAACATACAGTAGCTACACTTACTTCAATATAAACCTATTTTAATCAGTTTTACATCCTCATTTTCAGTCACTTATTTTTATACAATATTATGAATGCTGATCTCCATAAAACTAGAGTTTATTTAATTTGCCACGTTGACTCCTTAACTTCAATTTCTTCATCGACCTAAATTCATGATGGGGATCACTAGTTTTATCTAATCTGTTTGTTTCTGATTGGCTGTTTTTTGCACAAGACCCGCCCCTGACAGGAACGCGCTCAGGGCTGAGTGGTAAAGACCAGAGGGACGTAACCATAGATGGACGTAACCACCATTATCAGAGTTGTCAGCTGGAAATGCAACGTTATATATTTTATTTAAAAATAAACAACACAATGTTAAACTTAGTTACTTTGCAAGGCACAGCCTAACACACCCTGAAAAAAGGGAAAAAACACACACACTCCAGGTCCACGCCCTCTGCATATTTAATTGGCCGTTTGAGGAATTCACGTCCCGTCTGATTGGTCAATGTTGACAGCAATAACGTCTATTCGGCACACTATTGGCTGAGCTGTTAGGAGGAAGTCAAGTGTCAAAATGTTTCGGGGGATAAGCTCGGAGTTGACAAAAGCGATCTGTCTCAGTTGAAACATTTTGGACACAGTTTTTTTTTTATTTCCAGGTTGTGTCCTGGATACGGACCACACTGGGAGGATTACGTTATCCGGCTGCCAACCTCATTTCTCCGTGCTGTGCCAAGGACAAGGTCTCACCGTGGACTTGACCACCACCAGACGGCAGAGAGAGCAAAGTGGGACTTTATTGTTCAAGGCTAGCTAGCTAGCTTTGCCAAGCGGCTTGTTTTTGTGTGTATAGCGTGGACCGCAGGCTATATGGCTGCGAATTACGAGCCGATATATGGACTATCAGAAGATGAGGTAAGCCTTAATCTCAACAAAGCTTTGTTATGTAGACACCAGTCATGAGTAGGTGTCTCACTGCTGTAAATAGCTTACATCAACGCTAGCCGTTAGTCAAGCTAACAAGCCCTCTCCCACATTCCATAGTAATGTTCAGGCAGCTGTCAGTTTCCTGCCTCCATGCCTGCGTGTCCACTAGTTTACTCTTTTTAGAAACAGATGCACCCCTTTGCATTCTATTAATTGACATCGAACCGACTGAGTTTAACAGTCTCACAATGCCCTGTATTTCAATTATTGTCTGCACGACTTGCAGTCAAGCTGAAGCACTCTGTCTGATTTAAACACCGCCTTTTGTCAGTGATCACAGCTGTTTGATGGTGAGCTGACCGCTAAACGAGTTTTAAGCGGAGGCATGTACATTACGTCTTGCCCTGTCAACTGAGGTCGATATTTTCTTTAGTGATGAACTCTGTGTCATCTTAGACATACAGATGTACATCAATAACGTAGTGTCACGTAAATACGATGATGACAATGTTGTTTTATATAGGAGCACGATAGTGATGAATAAAATCCTCTCTCTAACAGACAGATCAGTCAACTACCTATCACACATTACCAATGCATTCAGAAATAGCAAGGATTGATGATTAACAATCATTCTTTCATATGTGTATCCATGGTTCTAGAAAACTAAATTAGGGGCGTGACTCAGATCTTTAAGTTTGTCAACAATGGACCAACCTGTCACTATTATAGCAGGATGCTGGCAACATTTGCATGTGACGTTGTTATGCCCATTTATGGAAATAATGTCTTTGATGCATTACATATTAAACTGCCATATATCTAAATAATCCAAAACTCAAGGCAAGGCAATTTTATTTATATAGCACCTTTCAGTACGCGACAAAGTGCTTTACAAAATAAAAATAAAAGACATTTAAGAATAAATACAACATAAACACATTATTAAATGGCATTTAAAAACAGGCATGCAAAGATAATGAAATAAATAAATCAACACAGCAGGTAATACATGAATAAAAGGCATACTGCAGTGTGAGTATGAACAGCTCAATTAAAATCAGCGGCAAATAGATATGTTTTTAGTCTGGTTTTGAAAATAGGAAGTGTTTCAGCGGACGTGCACGATTCGGGTAGTTTGTTCCAGATTGTCGGGGCATAATAGCTAAACGCTGCTTTTCCATGCTTAGTTCTATGGGGTTGTTGTTCTGATAACTAACTTTTAGGATTAGGTAGAAGAACCCAGCCAGTGTGTGATTGTGTTTTTCTACGTGGTTCACTTGAATAGCTTCTTGATTCCCTGTCTGTCAGTCATTACCGGAGAAGAATGCCAGTAAAAACTCCCCACATGGCAACCCTGGCTATTTTTGGTTAATATTCACCGTATTGCAGGTATTACATCACCTCATGTGATCTCCACTTGTAATGGCCTATATACCCAAGATGCTGCACTTCTTAAATCTTTATAACTCATTCTCAGGCAAACATTCAGATATGCTGCAAGACCATGGTGGCCTCAGGTAACAGTTGGGTCTGCCCCCCCTCCCTCATTCCTTCCTTTTCTCCTTTCACTAATCAGTTCACTTGTAATATATACAACTATAACAACATTTGCTGTAAGGCTTTATGTACAAATAATTATATTTTTTCAGAATACCCACACAAAGCAGTGTCAGTGTCAGATCTCCTATTAAGACCCCAATTCTAGACAAGTAATTAGTTTGTTAATCTGTGAACCAACCATACAGCATTAAAGTGGTTTATCTCAATATACAATTTCTTCTGCAGGAGTTGCTTTTGGAATTAGATTTATAGAAACTGATGAACTACAATATTATCATGTTCTGCTATAAAACATGTCAATATAGCTTCTGTTTTGTCATGTACCAGAACTCATTCCATTTCTCGGTCAGGGTTATTGACTTTATCTTACAGGTTCACATATGTGTGTGGGTTGATAGTGCTTGGCAATAATTCAAAAATAATCATTTATTGCCGTTCAATTTAATTGTATCATGATGAAATCTTATACCGGATACACAATTAAGTTATTTGAGTTGATGTTGCAACCACAGATTAACTCAAATTTGTCGGAAAATGTAATGAAATACTTAAAGGGAAAATGATTTTAATATTTTGTTTTTGTTTTTAAATCACACTTAAAACGAACTTTACATACCGTGAACATACGGACATTTAAAAAATGTATTTCTTCTTGATAATTTAACTTGAAACTTGTGTTCATTTTGCCCTCACATTCTTAATTAAACGCGAAAATACTAATTTATACTATTGTTGTAAACTCCTGTGATTTTACACAGGAGTTTACAACAATAGGCATTACCATGTGGTTATTTTGTATGGACTATTTATTTATTTTGAGAATTAGAAGAAAACATACTATATTGTTATTGAGACATAGTATAAGTGATAGAAGAATGGTACCATTTTGCCAATTACGAGCTTGGGTTATTGTATCGTTTTTCTATTAATTTCATTTTATGTTTTTGTCCATATTTATTTTTCTTCCGCAGAATGAAACGAGAGTGCTGCGGGTTAAGGTCATTGCAGGAATGGATCTGGCGAAGAAAGACATCATTGGAGCCAGGTGAGCATCACAAGACACACCAGAAGATGCTGTTTTTATCAGAGGGTCCTTAGCATTATGTCATCATTGTGTACTCGACATGTAGGCCTGGTCAGTGCTTCAGATCAGGTACACTGCCACTCATATTGCACCTCTTTTGTCAAATGTAGTCTTATGTTTTAATGTTTGCTGCTGTTTGGCTCTCTAAAGCTCACATATGTATTGTTATTTTGATAACTGTTATTTAACATACAATGTTTATGTGAGAAAAAAGCGACTGAATGTCAATGAATATAGCATCCTGCCATTTGAGGAACTCCTTTAGTCTTTTCATCCTTGGCCAACAGAGTGTTGTGCACTATGATTAATTACACTTCTTTACAAAGACCAAGTTTTAATCAATCATTACCAACCTGCCTCTCCTATTCTCATTAGTCATAACCCACCTTTATGATAGTTAAAGCAAATAATTGAGTAATAATAATACACCCCCACGACTCACGTGCTTTCTTACACGTAGGAAGACATGTTTAACTTACACCTTTGTTGGTTTTGAATGCTCATCAAGGGCCCTTTCTTCATCTGTTGTCAGACCTTCTTTCTTACTGTGCGATTCTGTGATGATGAGTAACCAACTCTTATCCCAACTTTTATGCAATGTTACATAATACCCCTCTGTGGAGTTGTATTTTAAATCTGTTTTTTGTTCTCTCGCACGGAGTGCCGTGACTTCTTCCCTGTAAATGTAAATGACCCCCCGTTAGTTGCTGCTAAATCAGTTATAATTCTATTTGTGTGCTTTTAGTCTAGGCCAGAGGCATCATTATGTCTAGTGGCCTAACTTTAAGGATGGACCTTTGTTTAAAGGCATTTGGTTTTGCTGAAATGACTGATCCATTCATGTACTTGCTACAGTCAGAATGACCAACCATCTTTTCTGTTTTGCCTTCAGGAAGTCAGTTATTTTCAAAGGCACATTCAGTGACATATTGTTTGACTTCTCATGGGCCTTTCTGGCGACACAGGTATTGAAGTTCTATGATAGCCTATAAAACAATTACGTTTATATATATATAGGGAGTCACATACTTTAAAGGGGACCTATCATGCAAAATGCACTTTTTGATGTATTTTATACATAAATATGTGTCCCCGGTTTGTCAGGGAACTCACACAGCGTCAGAAAACAAAACCCTCTCTCTTTTCCTCCGTACCCACATCTCTAAAAACGGGGGTACAACGGAGCTGATCCAGATTTGCGTCCGATATGACGTAAAATCGGTAATGTGGACCCACGGCACTATCAGAAAGTTGCTATCAGAAACAATGCCCGACTGTTTTGGACGTAATATGGTCGGTGTTTACATTAGCATCGCTAACACTCAGAGCTACCCTGTACTGGAAAGCATGTGTGTGAAGAAGCAGGAAATAAAAAGGAACTCACCTTGTGGTATAACCGGCAAGAGAGAAAGCCTTTGAGCTCCATACTGTTTCAGAAATAATCCTTGATAATCCATGGTATGGCGTTTCATCATGGCAGTATTTAGTTTAGACAGTAGCTGCCGGGTCCCGCATGAGCTCAGCCCCCTCCTTTTTTATACATTTTTTTTTCCTTAAAGCTTAATACCAAAAATCTGCACTTTTGAAACAGGAAGTGAAATAGAGGGATATGAGGCATGGCTATAATGGGTGATCTGTTTGGTATTTTGAGCAAAACACTTTATAGACATGTTTTTTATATATTTTTATATATCTGAGACCCATGCTATTGCCTAAAAATAGCATGATAGGTGCACTTTAATGTCTGCTTTTTTTTTCATATTCATTCTCAACAACTTGAAGAAAATTCTCAGACGCCTGAACTGAGTCGGATTTTCTTTTACAATGGTCCACTCTAATACCTACTGTAAAATAGTTTTTGCATGAAGTATTTCCTTTTTTTTGTTCTGCTGGTAAACAGCAAGCTAGATGAAAAAAAAAAACACCCATTTGGAGCAAAGCTGTACTCGTGCCATCAGAATTAAATTATTCCACCCGAGATACAGTAATGGTGAAATAATACAATTGGTATCGGGCTGAAATCCCCATGACTAGTCTAAAGCCTCATCTCAATGTGAACACGGTCAGTATTGTGGTTTACAGTAATGCATTGTATCTGAGCCATGAGAGAGCGGACAGTGTGGGAGACTGAGTCTGACAGTTTAGCGCTGCGAGACTGCTACTCTTGTTAGCATCCTGATGCCCTGCTGGCAGGACAGCGCCGTGTCGCTCAGGAGAAATGTGAAGTGTAATGAAGAAGCAGTGAATGAGGTCTGGATGTGTAGCTCCTGGCTGCTTACCACAGGAGACAGTGCTGGCTTGGCAGTCTGTCCCCTCATAAGAGGCTCAAACAGTGCTGGCTTGTTTCCTTTCCTCCTCTTTCTTTGCTTCAAACTCGTTCCTATTGCTGCTTCTTTGATCCATTGTGTTCTACCCGGTTATTTTGCTCTAAGTGAAACACCCTGAGGTTTTGTTTTTGTTCTCCTAAGGCGTTGATAGAAACTCTTGAGAAACTTGCATGCAATCAAACAACAAGTGGACCTAGCTACCGTTTAAATCCAGCGACCCATGCACGCTTTCATCTCTCAGTGTTGACTTGAAGTAGCTGGTCTCCTTCAGCAGGATTTCTGTTGAAAGAGGGAAGGAGACAAGAAGGAGTCTCAGTGCTGCCGAGATACAGTAGGCCCATTGTTTTTAGCTTAGTCACAGCACATCAACAGAAACAATCAGTAAGAGGCTGTGGGGTTACTGGAAGACGTTAATTACCAATCATGCAACAGCAGTTTTGCTCAGGCTGCATTCGCTGTTCATTTTTCATATTTCCCATCCCTTGTGCCCTTTTCCTTTTGAGCCTTCTACTTCCCTAGAAAATATAGGCTGCGCACTTACTGGCAGGCCAAATCTAATTTTGCAAATATTAATACCCAAATTGTATCCCTGGAAACGGATTATGGCTAATCAGATCTAAAAGGCATTCATAAATGGTTTGAAATGCGATTCAAATCAGATTCTACCTTGCGTGTTGAGTCTAGCCACTGCAATCAAAATGTCATTTTCTTCTTGGGGAAAAGAGAGATTTGGTGTCATCATCTCAGAAGAGTGAACGTTAGATATTGTGTTGGTGTAAAGAAGTGTATGTCTCCATTCTTCATGTAGCCTGCAGCATGATGTTTTACTGTGTGTCCTGAAATAACTTGTATGTAACAGATGGTGAACACATTGATTTAAGTTATTTCAGGAAACACAGCTCAGGAGCAGAAAATGTAAAGGAACCAGAAGCGTTATGGGAAATCTTTGACCCTTCTTGAAGCCAATGAGTCAATGAGTCAATTATTTGTTGAGAACATTTATCAGCTAATCTTTGGATCACAGATTATTCATTTACGTAATATTTATCAGTCAAAATTCAATTTGATGCTGTAATAATGATATAATGCAGCTCTAGGATATTGTGATGGGCATTGTTATACGATGGTAATATACGATTAAACATAAATCAAAACTCACCTTTCAGCTTTTAATGTGTTTAAGATTATGCGATTTAATATTTTGAGCATTTTCTTTGCTTCGATCATTTTAATTTGTGTATCATGGAACGCTATAAATAAATAATGTATCTTTATTATTTATCTGCACATCAAGAAAGTAATGAATAGTCAATCAATAATGAAAATAATCTTTAGTTTAAGCTCTACTCTAAAGTCAGATACTGCATTATAATCTAAATTTGCACGTTGTGTTTCGTAGAATTATCTATTCAGATATTTTCTGTTGCCTACAATAAAATACTTCTAAAATGCGAGAACAATACAGAATCATGTCTACAAAATCTTGAGCGTGTTTGTGTTGATAGTGCCGCCTACTACTGTATCTGCATTATGTAATATACGCATTGTACGCCAAGAATAGTGAAACCAACAATACATGTATCCATAAATGAAATAAGAACACTTAGCAGATCATGTGTACGAGTGATTTGTTATACAGGTTTGTTATTAAGCAGGATTATTTTTAGTGATTTAAAAAATGTCCAATGTCACGACCACAGAAACTTGTGAGAAGTTTTTCCTCTCAGGGAGGTTTTTGAAAGGTTATAACCTGACACTTTGTTTCTCGGTGCCTGCTGGGACTGGGATCAGTAGAGTAATTGGTCTGTGTGTTGAAAAGTGCGGCTCTGCCTCTATACAGAACTCACTGGACATTTTCTACGCTGTCAGCACCTTCAAATAAACCAATTGGCTATTTTTAAGCAGCACCCAGTATACCCACCATACTCTGCTTACTTTTTTCGCTGCTCACCTCAAAAATATTTAGCAGTTTCTATTTTTAGCGCTCTTGCTTTGTCAATAACACATTATAGCCTTATCTCAAAATACCCGAATGGAAGCAGTTTTTTCTTGCTGGTGTGTTGGTGGCAGGCTCAGGTTTCAGGTCTGGGAACAGGCAGAGTGTGAGAGTGTAGCCTAACAATGTGAGCTCTGGCACTTGCTGATAATATGATGATAAAACCTCAGATGAGGCACACTAGGGTTTACAAACACACTATGATTTTTCCATTCAAGACCAAACGGTGTGTTTTAATAGTAAAAACTATGGAAAAAGTCCAGGTATTTAAGGTTGCCACTTAATGTTTGGTCAAGTTCTTACTTCTTACTCAGATAATAACCGATTTAAATCATAATTTTGTTTACGTTTTGTGTATAATAAGATTTGTCTTGAAAGAAATTGGAAAATTATTGTTTTGATATGGAAATGTATCTTGTCAGCAATGCTAACATATGTGAGATATTATTTGATAAATACTCGTATGGCTGTGAGGAGAAGATGTGTACCTTTTTTGAATTAGCTCAAGCTGTTAAAAAGAGAGAACTGTGAAAAGATCATATTTTTTCACTCCACTGACTTTGTAACATTTCCTTTTTTTTTTGTCGGCAGCGATCCTTACGTCAAACTATCGCTGTACGTTGCGGATGAAAACAAAGAGCTAGCCCTAATCCAGACAAAAACCATTAAAAAGGTAAGAAAGGTAGAAATGCCTCTGTAGCATGTATTATGAATTTCAGACCTTATCTCCTCCCACACCTGCAGTACTCATTTACCGTACCGCCACTTGAATGTGGCTTTGTTTACTCCAATTTTAGGTCACAGTGTTGAGATCACGAAACCTTCCCAACCCCAACACGACTACCACACTTCCTTTAAATCAAGGCAATCACATAATCTTTGAGGTCGTTAACCACAGGAAGGCACCAGAAGGCAGTGCTTCCTTTTCTGCTCAGTACAGTGTTAAAGGCGAGCCCTTTTTTCCCCCAGTGGCCTATTTTGGGGAGGAAATCTATTCACAGCAGGGGGAGCTATTACTTGCTATTTGTGTAAAGTACATTCAGATGATATTTTAAGGCTAAAGTGGGCTGTAATTTCATATATTCCTTGCTCACATTGTGGACTGCTCTGGTCTATACGATTACAAATGTCTATAGATCACATATTGTTCTCATGTAATGCAGAATCTTATTCTACCGTACCTGTTGTATAATACATGTGGGGTGCAACACTGTTATGTATCCTGACTTAGCTTCTTATATCTTTAGGAATGGCTCCTTTCTTGGTTGTTTAGGTTAGCTACATGTAGCTGCCAGCCAACCCTCTGCTGCAGTCGGCAGCTCGGGCCTCCATGCAGGCACACATATGCTGCCAGTGGCCATGGTTGCCTTACTGGATATAAATAGCTGACAATGCACTGCTATGTGGAGCAGAAAATGAAGCATCCCCGCTCGGCTCTTCCATGGGCTCTGTGTGTCTTTAAGTGGGACACCTTTGATGACATCTTTGTCATTGGAGAGTATGGCTTGTGGCAGGATGGCATGACAAATAATGATACATGAATAGCCATGCTTGACCTGCATCAGTACCTAATGACAATGATTGATTTTTGGTATACTTTTCTGGAATTCCTCATTATTTCATCGTTGACTTTATGGCTTTTTGTCAAAGGGCAGTGGGTTCATTTGTAATTCTGCAGTTGTTTTAACAGAGATGTTATTTTATCGCTGCTGTAAAAGGTTGTAAAGTGTTTATCATTCAGACTTGCTTGTAAAATGAAGGCTTCATTGACATTCTAGTGTTTAAGTCATTGCAATCAACAATGGAATTTTAATGAGAAGTGTCACATAGTTCTGAGTCCAATACAATCAAATGTGTGAGGCAGAAGGAGAGAGTCTGTGCATCTCCTTACTAAGCTGATCCATCCAGAAAGTGGATGATAATCCTCATGGCTGTTAATCTAGGGACTAATGCCAATCACCGGGACATGTTAGCTACAAACCTGCGCTAACAACGTAAAAGGATTATTGACGCACAAGATTGAGTTTAATTTCTCACTTGGGATCCGTTTTTTCTCTCTAAGTTAGATATGTTTTGTAAGTCTGTTTTGTTTTCTGTTTAACTAATAATGTTGTTACCTGTGCTTTAATAACCCTATCTTTACTTTGTTTTTCAGACCCTCAACCCAAAATGGAACGAGGAATTCTACTTCAGAGTGAGTTCAGGTTTTAAACTCTTTGGGGCAAATTCATAAAAGGGTTGTGCTGAACAAATAAGGCAAAAGTCCAAGTGTATAATGCAACCCACACTGCACTGCCAAGCAAAGAGCATCTTACTGCACCTGATCAATAAGGAAAATATATATATATTGATGTGAAATTGGTCTCTATCTATACTAATGAATCTTTTTGCAGATACAGTCCAATTCACAAATACTAGCACTAATAGACTCACACAGTTATAAAGTCGACCGTAACTAAAGCACATTTATAATAGGTGTCCGCTTAGTTTAAGTTATTTTGGCAGTAACTGGATGCTGTGAGTTGTGTCATGAAAAATATATAAAAAATGGTTTTCTTAGCCTATATAAATGTATAATGACTTATTCCCTTCCTCATTAGCTAAATGCACTCTGGCTCAGGCTTACTCTCACCCTTATAACGATGCATTGGCCTAGAGCACATTGATACCTTTCAAACATTGAGACAGGGCAGATGGCGATGCAAATGATGAGCAATTTATGGTACCATCAGTGCAGCAATCCATTCTTTTATGATTTCGCCCCTCACTGTACTTCATTATGTGTCAGATTCCCCCTCTTCCCGGTACTCTCCACTACGATAGTCTGGCATTGCACTTGTTTACTCTAGAGTGGTAGTGTTAGAGTTGTAAATCTTTGGTTGCAGTTTAACTCACACTGTAATCATTGTGACAGTACTGGACTTTGGAAGCTTATCTACATGTGTGTGATTACTCCTCGCTATTTATGAAAGAATTATAGTTTAGTCCTATGCTACGTCATTTAAAGATTGACTATCTTCTAGTTAAAGTAATCACAAGTTATTGTGATTCAAAAGCAAGCACACAGTTGCTCTCAAAGTGTTTGTATGTATCTGCTTTAGCTCTATAACCACTGGCTGGCTGCTGTATAATCACTGTTTTGTTGCCAACACAGGTGTGTCCGCAGAATCACAGGCTACTCTTTGAGGTGTTTGATGAAAACCGATTGGTAAGCTTCACACTACATAACCTGTTCCCCCTCCCTCCCTCTGTTGCATATACAACACAAACCTTTTTTAAATTTCAGTCTGTTATGTTTTGACAGCTTTTGATTTGATTTATTTCCAGCCACAGCAAAACCTCATGACACTTTTTAATTTTCTTCATTCAATTTATTTTCCACTTATTTTCTCTAGCATCTCGTTCCATTTTCGTTGGTGATAATGGGGGTCTGCAGTTTAACTTCTTGATAGTTCAGTGTCAATTATGCCAATACATTTTGTTGTGTCGAAAATGAAGTGGGAAGATTTCATGGGATGTTTTATTAATTAATCATAGAAATCCTTGATTCAATTGTATTGACCTTGTCTACACCACCTTTTGTCGTCACACGTTTTAATCTCATGAAAAATATTGCTAGATTTGATATCATATCAACAACAGTTTAGGTCAGAAAAACTCAATAAAACCAATACACTGCAGTACCCATGTAAAAACATTGACATAGACAGTGTACAGTTTGTGTATCTTGTAGTTTTATTGCTCTAATTTAAGAGAGTTGTGGTCCACTAACAACTCCTACATTCCTCTCATGTCAAATCTCTCCAATTTCCACCACTTACTAGAACACTGGTTTCCTTCACTTGTTAAATTAAGCCTGTTGTGGGCTCTCAGTTGCCATGACAACTAGATTAGGGGGTTTAGGGCTGCAGTAATATTTGTTTATTATGGATTCACAGTAACTCTGGAGTCCGTGTTCTCAGTTTGATGTCTGATAAAACAAACAGCGGATGCAGCCCAACATAGTGTTGATGTTCTTGGCTGGATGGAGCACATTCTGTCTGGGCCTCGCAGGCTAACATCTTTGTGCACGGAGTACCGATGTGGGAGGTCGAAAGATTTCAGCTTCTGATTTGAGTTTTGTTTTGTTATACCAATTTTCCTGATAACTCAATAAAGTTAAGATACATTATATGATTAAATCCCATACAGTCATTTGAATGTCTGCAGGGAAGAAGGCAGCTTTATTTTTTTCCTCAGTACAGTGGGAGCTCTCAGCTGCTGTATAGAAGAGGAAGACACAGCATAGCACTAGGCGTCTCAAGCCCAGTCCTCTCCTTATATGTCTGAGGAGCCGCTTTTGTGTCTATCTCAAGGTGCATGCCAAGGCAGCTCCTCCACCGCTGGCCAGTATTTGTTTCAAGGGGCTGCTTGTCTCTTGGATCCATTACATTTACGCATGTTTAATTCTCTGGAAAGATTCATTGTTTGACTAAGCATTCTGTATGATAAACTGGTTCACTTATGAGTAATAAATGAGATACTAATGCTGTAGATACCCTCAACTAATGTAAGTGCCTACAAAATATGGGAGAACTACATATCAAGCTGACAGCTAACATAGAATGTAACAGATAGGTTGAATAGACCTCCAATACATTATGGTGCTTTGTTTGAAGCAGACGTGTTACGTCATTTGGCAAGCTGGGCTTGCTGCCATTGGACCACACATTGGCATTTTGTTTCTTTACACAGAACACTCTCCATAACATTTCACACACACATTTATTGACTGTGCCTAACACTGTAAGCAGTGTGTCATCGCAAAGTGTAACTGGTTGCCAAGCCACGATTTCTTCTTGCTCTACAGTCTTTTTCTTCTTGCTGTTTCTCTGCCTCAATCAATACAGCGTGCCTTCTTGATGCCCTCTTGTCCACAATGGTATACTTTTTTTTTGTCCTCCTTCTTTTTTGTACTTTTCCACTGCGGTTCACCACCATCAGTGACATGGCTGTCAGCTAGTTAGAGATGGATACGATAATGCACTGAGCACTAAACCATACTTAGAATTAGTTACAGTTTTTGGACAATGCAGTTCTGAAAGGCCGAATTGTCAGTTCAGTACAAGGAGGCAGACAGTTCGCCTACTAAAGTAGTACAAAACACCCATTTACTGATCCAACGGTCGATCGCTGCAGTATTAAGAATTCTCTCAAGAATGTACAGTACTGTATGCTTTGAAAAGTCTTAATCAATTTGACCTTGTTCTGTAGCATAATAGTGCATAAGTGCCTAAGCATCATAATTTTTGTCTGATTTCAGTATGGCAGACTACGATCACAGCTGATCGTATCTTGGGTGGTTTTTGGAAGCAAACTGTGGCTTATAACACCACCAGACAGTTAAGTGTTTGGCAGTGTCTGGGAGATGGCGTAGTCTACTCTGTTTGAAGAACACTTGGATGCTTTCTCCCGAGAAGGCGGTGCTGTTTGCCTTATCAAAGCTGCAATCTGTCAGATATTCTGCTCTTCACTCAGCCTCTTCCTTTTTTTTAGGTCCATTTTTAGAAGCAACTTCCTTATACCTTTTTTGTTGTTTCCAAGCTACAAGAGATCATTTGTCCTCCAGATTTCTTGATACATTTAGCATTTTTAGTGGGACAATTTAGTAAGGAAATCATCGCTTCCTGTTGTGACTATTACCTAAAAGGATATGGATGCTACATTGTCAGATTTATGGGGGCATTCTGTGATTTGTCCTTATCTTTCTTTAAACCCACCCTTTCCTTGGGGACATGGCAGGATGCTCAGGCAGATCAGTAATAGTAGAAATGTTGATGTTATGGCCAGAGATCTCCTTGCGATGGATAACACCAGCTGCTATGCCAATTGGGAGAGCCAATGGCACCTTTCTTTACTCCTTACCCCCCTACTTTCAGGTCTCTGCATAAACCACACCTGTCTTTAAACACTGCCCTCATTTGGTCTCAACACACATAAAGCTGTGTAACTGGATCTTTCACGTTGTGACACAGTTTTTAGTAATGAGGTTGGAGGTATAGCAAAATGAAGAGGTAACTTATTGAGATTCAAAATTGCCAGACTGCATGGACCTAAGAGTTTGGTCATTGATGGGAAGTGGGGTGTGTTTGGAGGGCCAGTTGGCACTTGAGGGCAGCATGGGGTTGTAACTTGAGGTGCTGGGGCCATTTGTGGTCACATGACTTACAAGCAACCTACTGTCACCTCGGAAACCAGGAGCGCCGGCCGCTCTTATCCAATCATGTCAGGAATGCTAGCCGTCACTGGGCTCAGGCTATTTCTGCTGTCTGTTGCCTGTGCTTGGTAGTGCTAAGAGTGTGGCATACAGGGATCCTTCTTTTCCCCCCCCCCACTTACCCACTTAGTGTGCAGTGTAAAGTTGTCAGCTCTTTTGCAGGGGCTGTTTAGTTTTTGTGGTGCCACTTATTTCCTTAATACAGTTTACTGTGGAAGGAAAGTTGGGAAAGAGACTCAGAGAGAGTGGGAGGGGGGTGGGGTGAATGAGAGTGGAAGAAAAAAAAAAAAGGGGGATCAGTCATACAGCCAGCCAGAGGAGAGAAGTGGGCGACACTAAGAGACAGAGAGTGGATCCAGAGGAGAGAAGCAAACAGCCTGTCAGGGAGAAAGTGAGAGGGAACGGGAGCTGCGGGACGTTTGGTGAAAATGGCTCAACGTCTGCGTTTGTACTTCGGCTCAGGCCGCAGTAACACAGCCCCGGAAATTCTGGAAGGAGACTCTGAGGATCAGCAGGGAGACAGTGATGTGGTAACGACGCTCCGCATGCAGCCACCTCCAGATTCAACGGAGCCAGCTGCGTCACATGCTCCACCAAGAGCTTCGCGGTTGGAGCCTTCGCTTAAACGCAGCTCCTCCATGTTCATACCCCAGCTTGCCTCCTACACTGAGCCACGGCCCACCAAGAGCTCCTCCATGCACATCTCGCTTCAGCGCTCCAATGGATCAAGTAATGGAGATTCCTGTGGTCATACTGCTGATGATGATGTCCCGCCACCCTGTTATACTCCTCCAGGGCCGGCGCCTGCCTATACAGAACCAGAAATCCAAACAGACTTTCCACGACAGCCGCCGCCTCCGTACTACAGCCCAGAAACTTTAAACTCACAAACTCTTCCAACAGAGCAGAACCTGCCCAAACACAGGGTCTTTAACATTGGCCCCAATGGCCATACTATGTACAGCAGAGGCCGACCTGGTATCAGTGTTGGTGGTATTTGTATCCAGAGAGACTCTGCAGATGGTTCCGATACCCAACATTTCAGAATCCACCCTTATGGGGGCACCGGCTGGTCTGTCCAGCAGCAGAGTGTGGACCAGTGCTCTGTTGTTAATGGTGGAACACAGAGACTAGTGTTTCAGCTCCAGAAAAACCATAACCAGGATCAGAGCCAGGGCAGGCCACAGGCTGATGCATCTCAGGCAGAATGCACAGATGTTGGCTTTACCAGCTCAAGAGGTAGCCAGGTGGTACGCTACCCCAGAATTCGACTGGAGAGAAGATCATCGCATCAGATGCCGTTGCTGGAAAATCAAAACCAAGAGACTTGTGCAGATGGCAAAGCTAGAGAGGAGAACCAAACAGACATTGAGACAGAGCTAATGGAAGCAAGAAACACATCTAATGGTTGTACTTTCAAAATCAGTGGGGAGTCTTCCAGGAGGCAGCCGCATTTCAAGATCTATTTTACTCCAGGTGGAGATCAGGATGTGAGCATTTGCAATGATCCAACGAGGAATAATCCCAAGGTAAAGACTATTGGAAAACTAAAGTATGACAGAAAACGTTGTTTAATGGAAACATTTTGTTAATTTTGTAATGGCATTTAACAATGAGATGTGCACAATCTATAGTTGTGATGATGAAGATATCACTTTCCGAATTAATCATAAACAATAACAGTGGATAGGTCAACTTACTCATGTGACATTTAGTTGAACACATGATAGCTTGAATGTTGTCTTGCCAAAAGAGGGAGTATGCATTAAGTAGGGCCATGGGTATAACAAATAAGATTCAGGAACACATTGTGCTACCTAAATTGGGTAAATGTTGGAAGATGCCTCACACATTTAATATCTCGTTTGTCACTCTGAATCAAGCCAAGTTGAGAAGAGCTCCGTATGGTGCAGGAAGAGGGTGGTGACATTTTGGGAAGTGAAAAGCACAGACACGGTTCTCAAGCTAAATGACACAAACACAGACACTGGCTTTCTTTCACTTTAAAACCACAGGCGTTTGAGGTTTTACACACATCAGCCAATTCACTGCACTTGTTGTCTTCTGTTCCACAGAAATGTGACACTTAAGTTTGGTAATACCCTTAACTGCAGCCAGTGCTCTTTGAGAGTTGGCTGTTTCTATCTTTAGTCTGTTTCTAGTGTGGTTGTTGATTTTGAGAGCGGGAGGCGGCATGTCTTCCTTGGCTCTAGGCTGCTATGGATCCGTATCCTCGCAGCTGCTCCACAAGTGGTTAACAACTAAAGATGTCATTTCTACGATCAAAAGTTGGACAAGCCTTCCGAATCTTTGATTTTTAAAAGTCCTGTTATGTTTCTGTCTGTTCTTCCCCCATGTGCAGCTCAAACTTCGGGAGAAAAACAGATCTAAAGGTTTCACTTTTTAATTAGTGTGTCATATTACCTGACTTATCATCAGCAGCTTTCCTCTCAAGTACATTCTGTACCACACTTCTCTCATGCAGCTCTTGACTAATACCCATTCAGGATGTCATCAAATATAACAGGATTACTAGAAGTACATAGTAGGCGTTTCTAAAACAGAAACTTAATTATTGTGCCTGCCTCACACTTATACAGTCTTGACAATTTTGCTTCCCAATGCTTTTGCTTGAGAAGAATCCTCATGGCATCTTTAATAATGTCACTGAACACAAAATTAATATCTACCACAACAAGGAGATTCAATTAATACCGTTGTAGTGTGCCACAGTGCCCTAGGGCCTTCACCAGGCTTTTATTACATGATAAACATCATGATAAGCCAGTTACTGTTCTCTTGCATCCTGACCATTAACTTTAAATCCAAAATAAACTTTAGATAAAATATTTCTGTTTTTCTCATAGAGGCTTGCTAATATTGGCTGTTCTCCACTCAAGCATTTACATTTTTAATAGATGTGAAGTGTTATGTTTGACCACCATAATTGAATGCATTCCACACATCAACTTTCCCCTTTCTTTAAAGAGACTTGGTGTTGTGTTACCCCAGGGCATTCCCTTTTCTCATGCAACAAGGAAATCCTCATTTAGACCATAATGACGGGTCTTCCCCAACTGGTAGCCTAGAGTTTGTGTGCCCCCTTTTTAGAGTCGTGCATGGGATACTACGGGTGTGTGTTTTGTGTGTGTGTGCCAGAGAGACTAGCTGCAGACAGCTATGCCACAGTGCCATGCCCTCGTTACGGCCCTGCCTCGACGTCATTCACAAAGAGCTTTTGCAGGCCACTGGGCTGGCTATATTTACCTGAGACTGGATTCTGGATGGATGAGTGGGGGGTTCTCTTTTTATTTTGGTCCAGTATCATTGATGAGGGTTTCTAATTGCTATTGTTTGCAGGGGGTCAGCCCTGATCTTGGTTACAATGCATGGCATTGTAATTCTGTGTGTCAGCAGCGAGACTGTCGAGTAGTTGAGAGAACCTTTTCTCACTTCAGTGCCAGCCTGGACCCGCTCCAGGTTTCTGTATGTCATAAACTCTGTCTGTTACCACCTCTTCATAAAAATGTTCTTGGCAGCTCAGGGCAACTACAGTTAGCATTGCTAAATGCGGGCAAGATGATGTGTGCAGAGGCCAGTTTTATTTCCATTTTTATTTCTGTTCCTAGTTCATGTGTAAGAGTGGGTGGGCTATGTTTGGGCCAGTGGCCTAAAGCGGTGTGTCAAAGGTCTTTTGGCGGGGAGAAGGGTGAACCAGCAGAGAAGCTCAGAGCTAAACAAAAGGAGTATCTATTGTTTAAAAGAAGACCCAAATCTGTTAAATTAAGCAATATGTAAACATTGGCACAACAATGGTCACTCAACAACCATTACACTTTCACCATGGTTGGGTCGCTGCAGGGAGATTGAGTTTTCTATTTTGCTAGCTAGACATCAAAAGTTATTTAACCAACACATATTACTTAGCCTACTTGTGCTATTGATTAATGGCGCTAACTGTCCATTATGGCTATTTTAGGTTACAGGGGTCTGACAAGTCTGTAAATGTTACTGTATCTGCTGGGTGAGATGGGTGACGTTTATACCGAGGCGGCATGCTACGGGCAGGTTTAGGACAATACTCGGAGAATAGCAGCAAAGTAGTAGAAACGAACATTTGTTTTGCTCTTAGAGCGCAGGGTCCTAGAGTGCTGCAGGAGTTAGCATATTTGCACTTCAGGTTCCCATCTCTCAAATCTAAAGTTAAGAGGGTTCAGTCCAAATTGGGTGGAGCACTGCAGAACTGTTGAAGTTTGTTTATTCTTACGAATGGTTAGTGAATGAGGCCTATTGTTTCTGATGGAATGTTGTTGTGAATGTCTTAAATGTCTCTTTGCACTTCTTATAAAAACACAAATCCACTTGCATTCACCCCTATTGTACTGGGGTTGAGGTGGAAATCCCAGAGGAGGATATATAAAACCCCAAACATATCTGCAGACAACTACGTGAGATGTAAGTTTGATGGGTGAACTGACATATTTCAGTTTTATTCTCTTACTTTTTTGAGCTACTTTTACGATCCTTCATCTGTCTCTTTCACTCTTGGTCCCTCCTTCTGTTGGTCGTCGGCGACTCCCTCCCTCTCTGAGTGTAACCTGGCCCTGGGAGGCAGCTGCAGGCTCAACTGTGACCCTTTGATGACTCTGCAATTATATCCCTCTGCATACACATACCCACAGCTTAAAACGCTTGTTATTGTTAAGGACAGAAAAAAACAGCCGTTTGTCCCAAGAGTACATATCCCCCATGGGATGGTGCCAATTCTACTGACTATCCCATAGGAAGCACGCCACAGTGCCACTACGTTTTGAAGGATCGAGCATCGTCGGTCCTTAAAGTCTTATCTGGTTAGAAAACATCTCTGCAGCATTGAGTGTTTTTCTGAACTTTATTTATAAAACGGTACAACTAAGTGATTCAAAATAAATGTAAATTGTAGGTTGTAAGTCAACTCATGTGATAGAGTGTAATACTACCGGACATGCGCAATGGTTATGCAAGAAGTTAATTAATTGTGTTGTTGGTTTGGGAAATGAAAGCAGATACTGGGATAACATAGCATAACATTTCCAAGAAGATATTATTTAGACTTTGTTGATGTGTCACGTGTGTGAGGTGTTTGGATGTGTGTGTGTGTGTGTGTGTGTGACCTGTGTACGTGCTTGTGCATTAATTACTTTGTGTTTTCTATGTGACTTATTTGTGACCTTTCACCAAGAAAAAGCAGGTCTGTTAATCAGATTGAACAAAAACACTGATTGCTGTATACCTTAATAATTAGCACCAGACTAGGTTTGCTTAAGGACTTAATAAGTGGTTTTTAACCTTTTTTTTTTTTACTGACTCAAATTAAAAAAAAGGTGCCATAAGTAACATGACATGTCAAATCAAGACGATATGACCGATATGAGCTCAATACTGAGGTTCTTTGACTGTGCTACTTTGTGCAGCCGTGAAGCTACTTTTATAGATTCCAGCACATTGAAAAGCACAAGGGAGGCTGTGGCTCAGTGGATAGTGTGCTGGACTTCGAATCAGGGCATAGCAAGTTCGATTCCCACTGCAGTCAGCATGTCGATGTGTCCCTGGGTAAGACACTTCACCCCAAATTGCTCCTGTGGGGATTGCCCACAGTATTGAGCATGTAAGTCGCTTTGGATAAAAGCGTCTAACAAATGACATGTAATGTAATGTCCTGTATTTTTTATTAAAACATAAGAAAGAAATAAACTAAATGTGTGCAGCACAGCAGACGACCAGGTTGCTGTGAAATTCCCCACAATCCACTGGTGGACCGTAACTCAAACTGAGAAACAGTGCACTAATAGAAGTGCCACGCATTGTTTCAACTCAGCCTTTCCTGTCACACCAGAGACTTCAAACAAACATCATTGTTAGGTATTGCCTGTTGTCTAAATCAGTTGTGTCCCACTCACAGGCTACTTCCAAGAATGGCCTTTTCCATCTCACACAGGTAATCATACTGGAGGCTGCTGCTCTATAGCCCGATCATCCGTCACACTCCCCCTTTTCCTCTCAGTCTGCATTAATTACGACGAAAAGGATGGACAAATCTACGGGCTTCTTGAATCTGAAACACAATCCTTCCCTGGTTCTCCCCTGTTGGCACCTCTATCCTTCACTCCCTCTGTCCTGCTGACTTTGCTTCAATCTGGTGGCAGTGGGTGTTGTTTTTCCTTGCTGGGCTCACGGGTTCTTCTCCTATCAAATGAAACTAAACACCTATTCATAAATACAATCCCATACTGAGCCTTTTGCAATGAACACTTGTGGTAGAGAAAATAGAAAGCATTTTTGCCTAATACTAGAGCAAATATTGTATGACTTCTTCTTTTTTTTTGTTAAACAATATGTGGTATAAAATTACTCAAACATAATTTCACCTCCATATGAGATTCACAGATTACTACAGGTGTTCATAGAAAAGGCTAGAAGTGATTTCTGGATGGGGCTGTCCATTCAATTATATATTTTTCACTCTTTGTGACATTTAAACACAAAATGCTGCTGGACCTTCTGGTGGTTCATTGTGGTTTTCCCCCTCTCTTCCCCCTGCTGAAAATGTTGGTATTCCCCAGTCGCACTAATGAAAAAATGCTAATTCTAAAATCAAGCTGCTGAAGGTGACCTCTTTGTTTCCTTTCCCAGACCAGAGATGATTTCCTGGGACAGGTTGATGTTCCTCTCAGTCATTTACCGGTGAGTTATTTGCATTTCTTTTTATGTCTGCATGTGAGTGTTTTGACTGACTGACCGTTATATCGGCGTTTTCGCATACTCGGCTGTTTCTTATCTACAATTTAGCTCGGTCTGAATAACCTCTGCCAAGGTCAGACAAAAAGTGTGCTTGTGTGTGCTTCTCTTGTGTGAGAAAGTGCTAGCTTCACAAGTAGTGTGTTGATGTGATGAAACAGCACACTCCTTGTTAGAAATGGAAAGCAGAATGTCTGGAATATAAACAGAGGAGGGTATCCTGCGGGCAGCCTCACAGCTAATGCAAAAGATCTCCACTCATCAAATTGACTCGCATGAAAACTGGACTTCTGTGAGATTCAAACTTCGACAATCAATAACATGCAGAGTTTAGGTTGGATGTAAGAAAAGGGCTCCAATAAACTCATCATTCTCGCCTCCTCAACTCATCTGAGACTGTACTGTCAGACTTGATGAGGCTCTCTGGAGTTCTGTAACCTAAAAAGCATTTCAGTAAAAGGTGTCCGGGTTAATTATTAATGTCCCTTTTGACTCCCATAAGCTCAGGGAAATTAGCAGAAGATAAAAGCCTCAGCTGAGTCATGTTGAGAGACTTAGGCCTAGAGGGTATTTGCTCCTGGTGCTGGAAATCTTATTTTAGCCTTTAAAATAATAAACTGAGCATGAAGAAGCTACTGCTATGCTTATACAGATGATGTGATTTTTGGTGTGTTTTTATTCGATTTATTTGAATGACTATGTGTTATAGGAAGAATTATTCATAGTTACTGGACATTACTAGTCATCACTGTTCTTGCCTTCAGCCATACTGAATCATCTGAAGAAATCTGATACATTTGCCTTTTACCAGCTTGAACTTACTGAAAAAATGTCACCATACGACATGAAACTTTATGCCAGCTCGTATCTTGATTAATGAGTCACACATAAGGTAGATATCATTTTGTTTCAGACTTTAAACAGCAATGTGTTTAAACAATCAATTAGATGCATTATCTACAAAGCTTGAAACCGATTCCTTATTCCTACGATTTGACGGACAGTTTGTTTCTTGGAGCTTCACCACATCTCAAATTATAATGAGGTTGTACTTTTGATATAAAAAACTGGCTGATTCGGTGGTGCTCCACAGAGCTGTTTGTGGTGAGCAGCCATTGTGGACTGGTTTGGCCCGTGGAGAGCAGTGTGAGATTGCTTTGAATAACAAAAAACCTCTCTGCTGTTCCATATGTAACAGGAGAAGCTCCCTGTTGCGTAATGATCCTGGGATGGCTGTCAAATCATCACTCAATATATTTTTAAACCTGTCGAACATGTGTATTTGTTTGTGTGTTCAATTGATTAGCGTCAACAAATGCCTCCTCTTCATTTGCAGACAGAGGACCCTGCCATGGAGCGGCCCTACACGTTTAAAGACTTCCTGTTGCGGCCCAGAAGGTCAGTTTCTGCTAGACGTGACTCACGGGATGTGAAATTGGATACCAGTAACGTAACTTCTTTAGTTAAATTGTGTCCGAGTCTTCGCCCCTAAGCAATTTGAGTTGCCATTGAAAGATTATTACACTGACTGATGTCTCCAGAAAGCAGTAAGTTCATGTGACGGTCAGTTGAACACTGAAGGTGAAAGAGCAGTTGGTGCTAATAGGCAGTTTGGAAACTCCCCTGCATTTCTCAATTTGAGCCTAATAAGGGCTCTGAGGGTGCAGACCACCTGGTTTTTATGTTGTTTTTTTAAGAGGGTGCATTTCTTCTTATCCTTCTAGTCACAAGTCCAGGGTGAAGGGTTATCTGCGTCTGAAGATGGCCTATCTGCCCAAAGTTGGAGGACCTGAGGAGGAGCCTGGAGACATGAGGGAGGAGGCTGAGGTAAGGACTTGGCTACTAACTGCTGACTTAGCATTACCTAAGGCATGCTTTTCACTCTTGTTCAAAATAACATGAAGCCAAACCAGAATCTAGTTTTATTTCTTCCTTCTACTCAAAGAAAACACACATCCAAGCCTAAAAATGAAAGTGAGACTCTGACCAATAGAACTGTGTTTTTTGCTTAGGGTGAGAGGAGAAAGGATGGCTCGTCTTTTTATTATTCTCTTTAAGAATTTGGACAATAGCTTGCTGCCAGAATCTGGTGAAAGTCTTATCCAGGTCAGGGTATGGAAAACCCATTTACAATACGGCCTGTTATTTAGAGAAATATGAGCTTCTCCTCTTTTACTTTGTGTGTTCAAGTGTGGATTTCTTGTGGAAGAGTGCTAGACATTTTCAGACAGTGAAAGGCTTCAAAGATATTGTGACTTTAGCAGAAAACGTCTTGTCTTTCTGTACCTCGACAATTTATTACAACAGCTCAGTATTTATCAATGTTTCTACTTACGTATCCTCAAAATGTAAATACTTGTAGTGCTATGTCACTGGACATTAGCGCAGTCTTAGATCTTGTGGTCAAGGAGATATTGGCAAACAGTTTGTCAAACCGAAAACAACCATCTTTATATTCTAACAAATACTTTTTAAACCACAACACAGCAACATGTTCTAACCGGCTACAAGTGAATCCACCATCCTTAATGTGTTTCCATGCTTGAGTCCCCTCTTAAATCAGAAGTTCATGAGTGTCTGACAAGCTGTCAGCTCACTGGGATATCTGTGACCGCGGTTTAGCACTGAGTTACTCATCCGGCCTCGTGTCAAACGGTCTGAACTTTCTCTTTCAGGGATGGGATGAGTCCGCTGACTCGGGCTCCCAGCGACCCCAGCAGCTGCTCCCTCCGCTGCCCCCCGGCTGGGAGGAGAAGGTGGACAACCTTGGACGGACCTACTACGTCAACCACAACAACCGCAGTACACAGTGGAAACGGCCCTCAAACATGTACGACTGGTTTATTTCCTTCTCTTGTTGTTGTAGAATATATTCCTGCTTTGGTTATACAAGGAAATCTTAGTTTTGCACAACATATAAATTCACATATGTGTTCACTTTATTACAAAAATATATATATATCCATTTTCTGTACGAATGAATCTGGGTTTGAGTTATTTAAGGCAATTTGACTGTAATACTACCTCCATTTATTTAAAGCTTCTTCTGTTTTCATTTACATGGCAGCAATAATGCCGTAATCACATTTTCAGGGCAAGTTTCTTAGCATTCATTTTGTGACTTCCTACAGTAACACTTTCTTTTGTATGAAACGACTTCTTCTCCTTCAGGGATGTGATTTCAGAGACTGAGAGTGATAATCAGCAGCGGCAGATCCATCAGGAAGCACATCGTGTTTTCCGTTCGAGGCGCCACATCAGTGAAGACCTAGAGAACGAGCACATGGAGCCCAGAGACTTAGACAATGTGAGAGAGGAATATACACACACACACACACACACACACACACACACACACACACACACACACACACACACACACACACACACACACACACACACACACACACACACGCACACGCATCATACACATACTGAGCCTCAGCTGCCTCCAGTGATAAGGTCACCGAAATGTTATTATTGTTTCATGTCCACGTCTCGTTGTTAACCCCCTAGTCCTGGGAGCTCATCACAGAGGAGGATCCGAGCGACAGCCAGGCCCAGCCGCTGCCCGGCCCCTCCAACATCTTGCCCCCGCAACTACCGTCGACACCCGTCACCCAGGACTTCTCTGAAGATTTAAATCTGAGGCTGACGCTCACTCCCGAAACCAACGGCGAATTGCCTGGGCCCAGCTCTGCTCTGGTGAGACTGCAATTTCCTGTAATAAAAACCTCAATCACTCCACATTTAAATGACTTAATGGTGTAAGTGTTTTATTTTATTTTCCTGCTTTCTTTTTTATAGCAGAACCAGCTGTCAAACAGACTCCGGTCCTCCAGTATGACGGATGGTGTCAGTGAACAGGCCCAGGCTGCTCCTCTTATGGTACATATTTCTAAACCCCCACCTTTTTTCTCCATCTTCTTGACTCCCTCCCTTTTCTTGGCATGTTGCAGTGGTGTTGGTGTAGCACACTCAAAATCACCTCCTTTGCTCCTCTTTGCATTTAAAAATGTCCACTTTCGCACTAGCCTCGTATTGCGCTTCTTCCTCACCTTTCCTTCCCGCTCTCTATGCTTCTTCGATTTGGCTGTTTCTTCCTTTTCTTCTCGCCTCTGTAGGATTACCACACCTCTTCCTCCCACTATTACTCGCTGCCCTTTGTGATTCACTCGCAGCAGTGTTTTTATGTGTTCTATGAATGTTGGTGTTACAGCTGTTTGCCAGCAGAATGACCATTCCAGCAGAAATCATTCCCAAGTGAAATTAGGGACAGAACCACATCAGATGAAACAATCCACAGAGAGTCCTCCTGAGTCATAACATCAGTGGGGTTTCGGCTCGAGAAAACTGTCACACGATCATCTGAGTCAGATGTTTGTCACAGGGCTGAGTCACAGCAGTGAGCTTGGCATTGTCAAGCCAAGGAAAAGTACAGGTGCTGATGTCAGCCTTTCCCATGAATGATTAGTCTAGTACTGGAATACACGAGGCTCGTCAAGAAATATAATCAGCATGTGTTATAACCAGGACAAAGGGAAGGTCAGTTACAGTTTCACAATTCCTAATGATATTAGGTGTGTGTGTAGGCAGCCCAATGAATATGACATTGTCCATGGATAAAGGTAGCCTCCACCTGTGGCAACAAGTTAGTTATCATCAAAGGAATAGGGTGGTATTATTTCATATTTTTCGTCGTTCTCATAAAAAGACCAAAACCAACAGAATGTTAATCTGTCATTCAATTATTTCTTATTGACCTACATCTGTCTATGGCACATATCATCAAACCCATTGGTTCCTATTGAAGATAGACAAATCATAAATATGTAGTTTCATGAAAAAAGGCTAAGTTATCTCCTCAAAAAAGCTGCCATATGTAGTTTTTATGACACTCAAACAAGAGTGAATAGTGTTTTTGCTAAGGACTATTTTCAGTCATGGATAAATACACATTGAGTGCTGTTGCGAGTATTAACAGAAGCAGTTTAGTGTATTCATAATGAACTACACTGTCTGTGTTCATGGTCATGAACATGAACATTGGCTAATTGATGTTGTTTCTTAAATAGTTTTAGTACAACACAGGTCCACAACACAATCAAATATGCTTCTGTATGTCAAGCTTTTGCTTCAGACACAATATATGTTAGTATTTTCAATTAAGTATTGGTTTTGGTCTTCAGATTTGTTGACAATGATAAAAATATTGAATATTGCCAAAGTTATTTGATTGGAGGCTGAGTGTTGCCTTTATAAGTCACAATGGCTAATATACAGATCTGAGCATGTATGTCCACATTGAGGTCATTCTTTACTGAAGTTAAACGGCTGTGTTTTGTTATTGGGATGGTAGTGATATTACCATTAAGTGAAAATCAGGTTGTTAAATGTCTTCCAGGTTGTGTAGTTTAGAAAATGTCACATACAGTGTATTTGTCAAGCAATGCTGGTTGAGCTATATTGAAAATGTCATTTTACTAATCTCTTTGATTGTTTGGAAGAAACTGCATTCTATATATTTGTCTCCCTTTGCATCTGATCATTTCTTACACTTTTTCTGAGATTCAAACCCTTTTTGGTGCCCATTCGTTGAACTTCAGCCAAGCAATTCCCTTCCGCTGCTCTAAAATGTCCAGGACACAGAGCTAGATTCTCTCTCTGGTGTTACTGTAGCTTGAATCATTTTTCTCTTGTGTTTAGATTAAAGATGCTGCACTGGCTGGGGATTAAATATAGTGTGCAGGGAAATTCATCGTCTTTTCTTGCTTTATATCAAAGCTGATTTGACTTTACAAAAGTTGCACTGCAAAAAGTTGTCCTCACCTTGCTATTTTGTGTCATCATGTCAGCCAATCACAACTTGAGGTGACTTACAAATTAATTGTGATCCACCCTGCTCTCCATTAACCTCACAGCTCATTTGCTTCGTGGATGAATCCCCCCCTTTCTGTCACTCCTCACCTCCTTTGAGAATCAACTCCCCCCTTTCTGGAATAAGCACTTACTCACTTCACTGCTGCAGAAACACTCCCCCCTTTCCCTTAACTCCTCCTACCCTGGCATTGAAAACATACCATACTGTGAACTAAAGACCATCTTCCCCTGTCATCTACCAGCAGCAGGGCTCCCAGACCAGAAGAACGAGAGCTCAAACAGTCTCAGGTGGTGAGGAGTCCATGGTAATATCAGTTTAAATAAAGTTTAAACCTAATCAGTCGTACACCTCTTAGTCCCCAGTCACCACCCAGGTCCCTGTCTAGTGAGTCACTTAGAGAAATTCCTGCACTTGGGTAGAAAGCCACACATTGACTTTCACTACTATGTTATCCAAGAAGGCAATTTTTCTTTTTTAATTCTCATGAATGATCAGGGTCTGTACAAAGTCTTAAAGGTTTAGAACATTCACAATTTTAACTGTTTTAATGTTTTAAAGGTTTCGAGTATGCTTACATTTGAATATTCTCTACAAAAAAGCTTGATTTTCAACATTGTCACACTACTGGAGCAGGACTAGACAAGCATTGGGTAACCATAGAACAATAAAAGTGAATACGAAAATCTAGTAAAATAAACAACATGACAAAACACATTGATTGCTGTATGTATAAAGGAATTCTGTAAACTTTTTTTACATTTATAGACAATTTAAAGGTCACGATTAAGTCTTTAAGACATTTGTGGTTTACCTTGCTTAAAAATTACTTGAAATTGTCACTTAAAAAGTTGTATCAACCCTCTAATATGACACCATTTCAGAAATGGACAGAAGAAGCCATCTATGGTTGAATTAATCTGTCTTTATATAGTTCGCTTATTGGCGATGTAGTGACGTGCTAAAGTCCTTATTTAGTTCTGCAGTTGTCACTTAGATACAGTAATACCTGTGTGTGCACATGTGTTGTCCCCTGATGTAGCAACCTGCTACTCAATATTGAGTAAGGCCTCTGGTGACAAAAATGTGACAAAAAGGGATATCAAGGTTTTGTTTGTCTCTGATCAGAGCAGTCCCCGGTGTGATTTGTGTTCACTTTAAATATTGATAATATATGTCCCTGAAACATTGATATCACGGTTGAACACCACATCATCTGAAACAACTTCTTTTTCACAAGCTGCTTGATCGAAATATTGGAGGTCCCAGTTAAAAACTATTAAGATTATATGAATACAAGTGTCACTTTAGAAGGCTCCAGCTGAGGTGAAATTATGCATTTAAGAGAAGATGTATCACTCTCTTGGATTGGTTGTAACTATAGCAACTCACACTTCTACTAACGGGTTTAAAACCTCTAACTCTGTAAACTTCGCATCCCATCCTCAGTGTCTCAACTCAATTCATATTTTACATTTACACAACCCAAGATTACATATATCCATGGTGAAGGTAAGTAGGCTGCAACAATAGCAAGCTGTGGTGGACAAGCACAGTAGAGTACTTTAAAGTTTAAGATTTTGATCAGCTGATACCCATACATTAAAACAGGTCCTGGTCCTGCTCGGGACAACTCTGGTGTCCTGTGTTTAAGGGTGCTATCTTGCCTGTCTAAAATATCACCTGGGTTAATGTTCTATTTGTCTATTTCAGTCATCTTTATACTACAAATGGTTAGTAGTTCACTCATTAAAGGGATAATGATTTATTTATTTTAGTACCACAGGTTCACATCGTATCCAGTCATCATCTCTTGTTGTTTTTCCTACATTGTGTCTTTGCTGCGCAGCTGAAATGGGGAATATCACTTAAAGCTCTTGTGATTTTACCATTTTATCCCTCCACATCTCCACACACATACCAGCCTGTACTGATGAATTGTCTCTGCTTTGCTCTCTCTACACCCGGCCAGTCTCCCTCATCGACTGCTTACGCCTTGACCACCCCCGGCCTGCCCCCTGGATGGGAGGAGAGGAAGGACGGCAAAGGAAGAACTTATTTCGTCAACCATAACAACCGCAACACTACGTGGACTAGGCCCATTGTGCAGGTACAGCAGGTCTGAAGGCTGAGCTGGACTCTATGCATAGGACCGGGCCTTTCCTAGGCCCCTGTCATGGCCTGTGTATCGGACCTCTTCCTCTTTTCCCCCTGTGTTTCTCCTCTGTGTAGCCATAAAGAATGCTGGAAAGAGACCCAGCTCTGCAGCCTCAGTCTCCTTTTCTGTCGTTCTCTCTGCCCGGTTTCCTCTTCTGCAACTTTATTGTATGTCTTCCTCCTCCTGTCTAGCATTTTGTGTGCTACTCTGGATGAAGTGCAGCTCTGTAGTGGTCACCTCTGTCATGGAACTGCAACCACTTCTTTTCCCATTTCTTCCCTGTTTTTCCACTCGTCTTCCCCCTGTCTTTCTGTCTGCAAATGGAGCAGCTCCACAGACTGCTTCATGGGACTGGGTGTATGTTTATTGCCTCTCCTCTTTGAAATCCCTCCTCTCATCTCTGCTTTTATCAGAACACCGCTGATGATATTATACATCTGTTGTCTTTCATCACATGGTCTTCTCATTCTCTGATTTTCATCTGTTTGTGTTATTACTCCGAAGGAGAGGATACTGCCACTGGTTTATTTTACAAAGATGACTTTGTTTTTGGGTTAACGTCATGGCCCACTGTACCAGCCACTTGGGTTAGGCTTTTAGGTGACACTTTGGAATTACATTGTGTTACTCAATGCATCTTCTTAATCATAATAGTTAAAGAGGTCCTATTTTGCTTTTTGGGATTTTCCATTTATTGCAATGTGTTGGTTTTTGTGCATGTAAATGGTCTGCAAAGGCTAAGATCTCAGAGTTCCCTGCCTGAAACGCTTCGATTGGATTCCTATTTTTACCCAAACCATAGTGACATCACTACATAACACTGGCGTTTTTGTTGGTTAGCGTTACAAAACAATTTACGTGATAGGCTAAGGGTTGGGACATCTCTAAGACGTCGACTAATCACAACAGTGCCTTCCAGCTAACCAATCAGAACAGACTGGGCTCTGATTTCAGACAGAGGATGAAAAGAGGTGCTGCAGCCCAGGCAGTATGAGAAAAATAAAGAGCTTTTTGAACATTAAAGCACGCAAACATGTCACAGTAGAAGCACAGGATACACAAATGAACCTGAAAAGCATAATATGACCTCTTTAAAGCAACAGAATTGACTATCTTCTTGGGCCTATACAAACCATGCTCTTTTTACCTTTTTATTATGACTTCCCTGAGAGAAAACCTTGCATCCAGTCCTATCCGGTGCAGAAAAGCATCAGCCGACAGCATGACCTATGATGACAACAAGTTTATTTTTCTACGCCAACAACATTGATTGCCTTATTCTAACCCCACCTAACCTTAAAAGTGCTTTTCTCACTGACAGCTGACTGAAGACGGAGCCAGCACCTCAGCAGCAGCAGCAGCAGCATCCCCAGGAGGAGCCTCGGCCCTGGCCCTGGCCCCCCNCCACCCACCCCCTCCTCCTCTTCCAATGCTTCCAACAACCACCTCCATGAGCCCCAAGTCCGACGACCTCGTAGCCTCAGCTCCCCTACTGTCACCCTATCCACCCCCATGGAGGTGAGAATTCTCCATCCTTTTCCTCTTTTCACACCCTAAGGATTTATTTGTATCTCCTCTTTCCTCCAATCTTTACCCTTCCACACTTCCTTGTAATGCAATCCTATACTCCCAGCTGTTTTAAGAAGATCAAATCCTGATCCTCACCCATCTGTATCACATAATCCCACATTTCCTGCATTAATATTACACCATTCTTTTGTCATTTATACTTCTTTCAGGCTTTTTCTGTCTTGATGCTGCTTTTCTTTCTCTTCATCTTTAACAATACCATGGAAATAATATTATTTTGACAAATGTTTTATTCTCATCAGGATGGTTTTCTTTCTTCATACTGTCTAGTCATGTGAAATGGTCTGAGCCTTACTCCAGCTTTGCTGTTCATGATGAGTTTGTTGTAAAGAATATGCACTTGTGGCGCAGTCAGCGTTCCATCCTGCAGCCTCGTGTATAAATAGTACAAATGCTGGTTGGGTAAATGCAATATGGAAGATTCAGTTACCACCGGATGAATGCATTATTTGAATTGATCACAGGTCAAAAACCATTGTTGTATTTTGCTAAAGCAAACCAGGGGATATCCAAATCAATGATATTGATTTTTGAAACGTAATATATGCTTGAATCCAGAGGCCATTAGAGTAACACAAAGGCAACCACAGAATCTAATAAAAAGAAGGTCTCATGGGTAATTGAAGATACATTTGTAAGACAGGGCATCGTTTGTGAATACCTTAAAGGAACCTTTCTGCATTTTTCTGCATTGCGATATGAACTTCCACAGTCACACCGGGCCGGGCATCAGATTGTAGACATTAAATTCTGCTCCTCCGCTCTGTTGGAGATGCAGCGCCTGATTGTTCATCAAATATGTACAGACAATGTACAATGTTAGCACCAAATGTGATGAAAGTAAGCCATGGGACAAGCAAACATCTGTGGATGGCTTTTACTGTGAAGCTGCCACTGCACATTTGAAATGTTGACTGTTCCTCATGTTTGCTTCGTTTTGGAAAATGGTTAACGTACCCCAAATAGTCACTGCTTTTAAATGATGAAGTGTGATTGACCAGGAATAGATCACAAAATAATTTTAAACAGTTTTATCTAATCTCTTCCTGGCTTTTTTTCAAAACATTTCTCATAAACGAGGCTGGTTTCTTACTCATTGGTTTGAGGTTTAATAATTTGGGGTTTAGACCGCCTGGCTGGTTAATGTGTTAACCGTATGAATTTAGATAAAAACTGAAACATTTCCACTTTTTGTTTTTGTTTTTTGCAAAGGCTGTGACATTATACCAAAAACTGCCTAGGATAATTACAATCTAGTGTTCTTGAGTTTCAGATGTTATGCTCTTATCATAACTTTAGGCTTGTCGGGACTGGTCTGCACACTTACCATTGAAACTTAAAGCAGCTGACATTTTAAACTTGGCTAACATTTCACAAAGTCGTCTGTGAACATTTATCATCTATACAAAGTAGATTTCACTCAAACTTTTAATTATGCAGCGCAGCTATAAATACAAACAGACCGTCTCACTTTGACCTCTTAGTGCATTTAATGGCTTGACTCGGTGCTACTATCAAGGGAGGGAACCTGGAGAAGGTTTAATTAAGGTGTGTGTCTGTGTGATAGCAAAGCATCGTTAAGGGGAAAGGAAGTTGCTGAAAGTCCTAATTACAAATTCTACAGGAGGTGGGAGGTCTGGGGTTAATTAATGCAGGCTTTTCTCCTGGTAAAATCAGATCAGTCTGTGGTAATTACTGCAGAGGAATAATGTGATTTGGAAACACTCATTAGCCTAAGTAACTTCAGTCTGTTTAATTCTGCATTAGAAGCTTTAAGGATGCTTTTTCTCTAGGCAAATGGTTTCTGAAGTAAAATGATGAGCAATGTTTCCGCTTATCCCCAGAAATAGATTTAATTAAGAATTATGACTCTTACTTTTGTGGGATTTTACATCCAGGGAACCGCAGAGGAGTTAAAGTCCACAAAAATGTTGTTATTGCAACATTGAATCTCAGAGGCAATATCCAGGGAATCGGTTGGAATCTGTAGATTTTTAGTTTTGACATTTGGATTGACAGCTTGACAGGCCCATGGAGTGCGCTGCATGTTGATGCGTTCCCTCCCTTTACCCCTGGTGTCTTAGACGTGATATTGTGTTCACGATTGTGATGTTATTTTTAATCTTTTCTTATCCTATTGTATTTTCCAACAGAATACCAAGGCAACTACCAAGGTGTTTCAAAGGATCAGTTCTGTTTTGTTTCAGGCTGTCAGTCAGCTAGATTTAAATATAGGGCTGATAATATTATACTTCATTTTTCCTTTTTGGTTACAGGGAGCCAACAATATTCCGGTGCGGAGGGCTGTGAAAGACACCGTGTCCAACCCGCAGTCTCCCCAGCCGTCGCCCTACAGCTCCCCCAAATCACAGCCCAAAACCCAGCAGAGCTTCCTGCCCCCGGGCTGGGAGATGAGGATAGCCCCCAACGGACGGCCATTCTTTATCGACCACAACAGCAGAGTCACCACCTGGGTGAGTTACATACTCTGTGGTCACAGGCTGCAGCTCAACTGTACCTGAGGCTAATATTCTTTTAAATATGTTTGAAGGGCAAAGCTTTATTTTATATGTCAGTAATTTGCCTACAGTTTCCTACAAAGTTTCCAGAAAATAACTATGAAGTTTGGTCCTACAGGGAACACACGCCAAGTAAATATAATATAAACTCAAGCAAATATATCATTAACATAACAAATTAATTATTAATATTTCCTTTGGTTAAAATGTTAAGGAATTTGCTCTCTAAATCAACAGCTCCGTGAAAAAAACCAATGAAACAACTATATTACATATGAGTTCACATCGGTACAAATGTATTTAGCTCATTAAAGCTGAATCATTTGTACAAATCAAATGAAGCTTTACATTTGATTAGTAGATTATAGTATATCTTGTTTGTTCAGTTTGAATTATTAAATAGACACTTAAAATCTTAAAGATCTAGGGCAGTGGTGACCGTTGTTCTTTAAGCATGTTGCAGTGACACCTGGTGGTGGGAAAGCCAATTTGACATTTACTTCAGTCCATTATGTTACCGTTCTATGGCTAAGGAATTGTGTTTAATACAATATCATTCTTCAAACTGTTTTGGAATAATTAATTTGCACTTTTCATCCCTCCCTTTGTTGATAACCAGGAGGACCCCAGGTTGAAATATCCGGTCCACATGAGGAATAAGACCTCAATGGAGCCCGGGGAACTTGGTCCTCTTCCTGTAAGTCCACTCACAATGACACCACTGCATGTTTAACCTCTGGCCCACAACAGCCGCATAGTTCCCAATAACTGCTTTGCTCACTCATTCCCTCACTCATTAACATGTTGTTACGAAAAGTACTCTATTATGTGTTGAGTCAGATTACCGGAACTGTGTTAGCTTTTTACTTTGATAACTTTAAATGAGAAACTGTGTCATTTGCCTTGTTGCATATAAGTGACTTTGGAAGATGTATTTTTTGTCAGTTCACCCCAAATCAATAACACAGGTTTTTCCTCTTACCTTTAGTGCTATTTATCAATCTACATCTCTCAAATCTAATTGAACAAGGTGGCCAAAATAAATATTTATTTAGAAAAAATTACAGCAATGTATCTTTCCAGAAATCATGACTAAGAGAACCTATTGTGCTTTCTGGAGCTTTCCTTTCCTTTAGTGTGTTATATAGGTTTTTGTGCATGTAAATAGCAAAGGCTTAAGTCTCCAAGACACTCCCCCAAGACACGTCCCCGCCCCTGGCAGCTGAAGCGCCTCGATTGGACACTTTGTTTTCTTCCTTAACATAGTGACATCACTACGTAACACTCGCGCTTCTATTGGCTAGTGCTCCAACACATTGTACATGATAAGAGGCGGGACATCTCCCCCCCACCCACCGCCGCCATTGGACTCTTTTGTATTTTATTCCGTAACATAATGACTATGTAACGCTCTACGGGCTAAGGGGCGGGACATTTTCACACATCTCAGCTGACTAATCACAACAGCGCCGGCCAGCTAACCAATCAGAGCAGACTGGGCTCTGGGTTCAGACAGAGGGTGAAAAGGGCAGTATAAGAAAAATAAAGACCCTTTTGAACAATAAATGCTGCAAAGATGTCACAGTAGAAGCACATAATACAGAGAGCAGTTTCATGAAGGTACTATTTTCGTTTAGTTTCTGTTGTTTCATACTGTTGAGGTTTTTGAAATGTATTTGTGGCGCTTTGGAGCTGAGATCCCTCTAGTTCCAGATACATCTAGTTTCATAAATAGCACTACAGGTAAAAGAAAAAAATATGTATTTTGATTTTGGGGTGAAATGTCCTCCACTAAATGGTCCATGTTTAATTTGTAGCTATGTAAATGAAGTGGATTTTGAAAAAGACGAGACATGATCTTATGATCACACTATATTAGACATTTCTCTGTCAGTTAGAAAAGAGGGTGTCAGTTGGAGAATGTGACTGTGGAGGATGAGAGTGTGGGGGCTGAGTGATGATCTCTAATTAGGAGGTGAAGGCTGTCTGCCACCTGCTCTATTATCTGTGTGACAAAGAGAAACGTGGGCTAAACGTTACTGAAGCTAGCTGTTATACTAATGAAGGCTTCATAGGTGTGTACATCTCACAGGCTTGTGTGATGTGTGCATGTGTGTGTGTTCTCTCTCCCTCTTTCTCTTTCTGTCTATTTTCTCTCTCCGTTCTGGTGGATCTAATATATGCTTCTTCTTCCTCTTCTACACCTGGCCATGTCTGTTTGGCAGCTCCTACCAGAGGAGGTTGGTTGGTGCTCTCTCCCTCTGCCTGCCTTCCTTCCTGTCTGGTCCGGTCTGGTCAAAATGCCTGCAGACAGCCTTGCGCTTTTTTCTTGTCTTTATTTTTCCTTCTTCCTTTCTTTCTGTCTTTTCTCTTTCTCTCTCATGACCGGCATGGATTGGCTGTACCTCTCCCTTCATTTCCATCAGTATATTTACCCCACTTCCTCTCTCTGTGCATCACATTGATGCTCCCCACAGTTCTCTTTAATCTCTCCATGTGTATCAGCGTTCGAGGCACAGATAGACAAGTTGGGAAAGTGGAAAAATGGTTTGGTTTTAATGGTTTTGCACATTTTAATAATACACTAACATAACAAATGAGGCAAAAAATCCATTGGGCTTATTTAAAGCCTCCACCTAAATAATAAAACACAAGATCCAAACAGCCTCAAATTCAATAGAAATGGCTAACTTTAAGAACAACATATACTATACTTACATTTTAAATAAAAATAACACTGATTTGAACATGGAAACCAGGCTTCATACAGTGGTCAGATGATTTTTAAGGTAAAGCAATGCAGTGAAAAGAACCCTTTTTTGTTATGGTTGGAGGAACACCCAGATCTTTGTTCGAGTGAGACACTTAGGGGGGAGGAGATTTGATGAGTGGTGTGTTGCATAAAAATGAACCTGTGAATTACTTTTGAAGTGCATAGGATTAATCCCTTTACCTGAACATATTTTATAAATACAAACACAAATTTGAGAATCATCTGGCATTTCAGAGAGAGAAGGAGAACAAACAAGCGTGACTGAAAGAGAAGAACAGGGTTGATTAAAAGGAGCTATATATGTACGTTAGAGGAAGGAACTGGCTGCATGTGTTATCAGCTTTTCAATCGGGTCTATTCACTGGTGCAGTAGCAGCATACGTAGGAACACACATACTGTAGGTTCACCCCGTTTGACACATTGTCAAACTCGGCTCCCCCCCCCCTTTAAACTCAATCTACTGCTGTACGAGTATGTGTGTGGCCTGTGACTCTGCACCGAGTGGTCACCGTCTCAGTGGTGGTCTGAAAACGTAGTGGTGATTTAACCTTTTATGTTGTTGTCGTACCCCTTCCTCGCTGACGTCTCGGACCTCGACTCAAATAGGAGAGAAAATCCGTTCACTTCCTTTGTGGTGTCTGATTGAGCTTGCAGTCAGTGTTCGGACCCTCTAATGGTCGGTCAAGTTCAATCAAACATAAGTTAACCAAAGGGGGAACAAGTGGATGGATTTACTATCACTGAGTTACTATTTGAGCATGGCCTGTTTAAAAGTGCAGTCTAATGGTGACTTTGCTTTTTTCAGCCTGGATGGGAAGAAAGGATTCATTCAGACGGACGCACCTTCTACATTGACCACAGTAAGACGACTCCAACTCAACACCTTCTCTCCCTTCCATCATTGTATTTTGTTATGCGTGTCTTTTCTTTTTCTAGCTACTTTTCATAGCGAGTAGTGGTTTCAGTGCAGCCACAGATTGTTCAGTGTCAGGGACAGCAAGCACCTCATCCATTAAAGCAGAACAATCTGAGGCCAGGTCATGCTGGTTTACATTTCTGCTATAGTGACCTGGTGTAGCACAACAGTGTCTTCTAACTGAAAGATGTATGGTCATAAGAGAGAAGGACCTGCAACTAACACTTATTTTCATTACTGATACAACTGTTGATTGTTTAGTGTTTGACATGTGTCAAAGTTTTTAAAATGTAATTTCCTAGAGTTAAAGAGCCCTTTTGAATAACTTATTTTTTACAATTAAGAGTCAGAAACCCAGATATATTTTATTTGCATTTATATAAAATGGATAAAAAACACAAATGTATAGCATACATCTGTACGGCTCACATATTGATTTATTAGCAGTATATTATTCCACTGTGCGGTATTTCATTTTGGATTGCTTTTTTATATTATATACACATCTTTTCATGTAGATAATTTACTTATTTCTGCATTTACTTGCATATTGCACACTCTTGCATAATTGTAATTCTATTTGTTTCTTTTTGTACAATTTCTATTGTTTATGTCTTTTGTATACAGCATTTGTGTTGCATTGTTGGAGGAAGATTGTAGATTTTCTATTGCCAAGGCAACTCTGTAGCTCTTGTGAATTTGACAATAACAATCGATTTATTGAAATCCTCAGATTTGCTGAAACCAGCAAATATTTCCAGTAATTGCTAAATAGGTTAAGTAATAAGTTAATTATCCGAGTTGTTGATTATTTCAAGTCAAATGGCGAATTGATAAATTGACTAATAGGCTCTGCACTGGATCTAAGTAAGGTCTTATTTTTTGTTTGATCCAGATACAAAGAACACGCAGTGGGAGGACCCTCGTTTGCAGAATCCGGCCATCACAGGACCAGTGAGTAGTTTCCTCTCTGCAGCCACAGCAGCGTTACTACTCAGACAGCAACACGTCCTCCATGTTTAACACTGTTTTCCCATCTGTCACACTCTCTGTGCAACAGTCCCTTTGTAGCTATGGCTGTTACTTAAAGGGGACCTATCATGCAAAATGCACTTTTTGATGTCTTTTATACATAAATATGCATCCCCGGTGTCGGGGAACTCACGCAGCGTCAGAAAATAATACCCTCTCTCTTTTTCTCCGTACCCAAATCTAAAAAAACGGGGGTAAAACGGAGCTGATCCAGATTTGCGTCCGATATGACGTAATATCTGAAATGTGGACCCACGGCCCTATCAGAAAGTTGCTATCAGAAACAATGCCCGACTGTTTTGGACGTAATATGGTCGGTGTTTACATTAGCATCGCTAACACTCAGAGCTAACCTGTACTGGAGAGCATGTGTGTGAAGAAGCAGGATATAGAAATTAACTCACCTTGTGGTATAACCGGCAAGAGAGAAAGCCTTTGAGCTCCATACTGTTTCAGAAATAATCCTTGATAATCCATGATACGGCGTTTCATCACCGCAGTGTTTAGTTTAGACAGTAGCTGCCGGGTCCCGCATGAGCTCAGCCCCCTCCTTTTTTATTTATTTATCAATTTTTATTTTTTGTAAAGCTTTATACCCAAAATCAGCACTTTTGAAACAGGAAGTGAAATATAGGGACATGAGGCATGGCTAGAATGGGTGATCTGTTTGGTATTTAGAGCAAAATACTTCAAATACATGTTTTTTATATATTTTTATATATCTGAGACCCATGCTATTGCCTAAAAATAGCCTGATAGGTGACCTCATGCCAACAAGTCACTGTGTGTACCAGATTTTCTTTTCACCCGTTGCAACGCCCCCTCCAAAAGTTCCACCTCAATATTGCATTTAATAAGAAATAGAAGAATATATTCCTGATTCACTTTTACACCACACTCCCATTGTCTATAAGGCTATTGATCCATTTGTTTGTTGTTGTCCATGCAGGCTGTTCCCTACTCCAGAGAGTTCAAGCAGAAATACGATTACTTCAGGAAGAAGTTGAAGAAACCGGTAAGAAATGTTTTATACGCTGATACATCTGGTGTTTCTGGGTTCATGCTGGAAAAGTGTTCATAACAAAGCTCCATTTGGCCCTCACGACTTTATGTTGAACAAGAAGGCAGTGTAATTTGCTTGTATTTTGATTGTGCTTGATTGCATTCTTGTGCTTTTATGTTTTATGTTTTTTTGTTTAGGGCATTCTAATCTAGACAGCCATTGCAATCATTTTACATTTCTCAATGATTAGGACCTAGTAGTTTAGGATTGGATGTTACTGTATAACATAGAGTTGAGGCTAGTTGGCACCAAGTTTTATTCTAGAAAACGTTTAATGCCAGAAATTGCAGGCGAAAAGCTAATTTTATAATATAAATTTGTGAATTTCTCGAATACATTTTTACGTGTTAATTTCACACTTTTTTTCCTCATAAATCTCTACTTCAGTAGCACTTGCATACACCTAACTTTTTTCTTTTTTTCCCCTCACTCTCTATATTGTCAAGGTTTTTTTTCTTTCATCATTCAAAGCCTGATTTTCATAACATTTTAATTCAAAAATATTTTGCTAAAATAAAATGGTGACAATATTTTATCCATCATGGAGTTGTATAACAAGATATTTGCCCTTTGTAAAATCCTTTGAATAATTTGTTCTGGAAATTAATGAAATAATCATGCATTTAGATAACACTTGCATATCAAAACATAACATTTCAGATAATGTGTTATACACAAAAAGGTATACTAATGGCTTGTATAAAATATAAAGTAAGAATGATTCTACAGAAGCTTGTTGTAAACACAATACAATTATATTTATTTAAAATGTTATTCAGACTCTAGAGTCAGCAGTTTGTAAAAGCATCTCTAACAGCAGCTTCACTTCCTGATTGTCTTTCATAAATCTACATTTTACCTTGTCTGTGTAATAAGGTCACACACTTTACTTCTCCCTTACCATTCCCCTAGTTTAACCCCCAGCCCCCCAGTATTTGGCACAGTATAGTTTTGTTGTATTTGCATAAAAGTAATTTCTTTGTGAACTATTCCAGGCTGACATTCCCAACCGATTCGAGATGAAGTTACACAGGGGCAACATCTTCGAGGAGTCGTACCGTCGCATCATGTCCCTGAAGAGGCCGGATGTTCTGAAGTCGCGGCTGTGGATCGAGTTTGAGTCGGAGAAAGGATTGGACTACGGCGGCGTGGCCCGAGAGTGGTTCTTCCTCTTATCCAAGGAGATGTTCAACCCTTACTACGGCCTGTTTGAGTACTCCGCCACGTAAGTCTCTGCTGGTTTTCTTGCCCTAGATGTATGAGGGTGTGGGGGTGCGCTGATCCTCCGATTGGGCAAGACACTTCACCCCAAATTGCTCCTGTGGGCATTTTCCTCAGTATTGATGTATTACTATGTAGTATTATGTAATATGTAATGTAAAAGTGCGTTCAGCTCTTGGAAAAATGCTGAAATGCAATTAATAATTGTGAAAGACAGTGACAGGATATGGCCCAATACAAATGTGCTGTCGTAAAGGATTCAAAAGATTCAAAGGTTTTATTTTCATAGGCACAAAGCTACAGTGTAGAAATGGCAATGACATTCTTCTGACCTGAGCTCCTCCCACAATGCAACATATATAATAAAATACAAAATAAAAAGTAGTGCAACAAGTCTATATACATGTCAATAGAATATGGGGTATGTACAAGAACAGAATATGAAATGAAATAATGTAAATGAAGACAAAATTAAATAGGTTTTTTTGCGGTGATAACTATTTATATAAATGAGTATATTGCAAGATGACAACAGGAATGTTTATCGGGCACTTAAGAGAGCCATGCTTTGTAGAGTAAAAATCCTTCTCTACTCTTATTTGCTTTTTCCACAAGGGGGCGTAAGGGGCAGAGCTGCCATATTGTTTTCCTATGAGACTTGTAAAAGTTTCCTTCAACTCTGATTCACTTTTCCTCTCATTGAAAAAGCCATCCTGGAACAAACGTTTCCCACATACAGCAAACATTTAGATAATTAAAGTGACGTATGTTTTCTTCCTTTCTTGGCACCGTCAGTAATAAATGATCACTGTGTTTTTGTTACCTTTGCCCTACATGGCATAACATCGACTCTGATGTTATGCCATGTAGGGCAAAGGTAACAAAAAGAAATAATACAAATCGGGATCTCGTAAAGGACTTTCACTAAAGTTTGTTTAATTTAACCCCCAGTTTCCACCGGGTCCGTCTGCGCCGCGCTGCGCCGCGGCCACTCTAGTCAATGGGTGCTATTCCACCACACGCGCCGCGTTACGGCTCAGACGCGTCTCAGAAGCGGCTCGGCGCAGCGTTTCTCTAAAATTAGGTTGAATCCTATTTTTGCCGCGGCGCAGCCGTAACGTAAGGTCGGGCAGGCAGCCCCCCCTTGCAGGTGAGCATCCGGGCCAGGCCCATCCCCCACATATACTAATTTAGCAGACCCCCTCCTTCATCACAACACCTCCACTACGATACGCACAATGGACGACGAGGTTTTCATCATGGAAGTGGAAAAACACACTATTTTATATGATGTAACCAATGCTTACTACAAGGACAACATCAGAAAGGACAAGGCCTGGTTTTTAGTCGCTGCAGTTTGTGGAGTGGAAGGTAACAACTACATATTAATGTTTTAAAGTTAATTAATACCCGAATTAAAACCGAATCAATAACAAAACTGCGAGCCTGCACGCACGACGCTACGCTTCTGGGACGCGTCCGGTGGGTTATGGCGCTAGACCAAAACCGCGGCGCAGCCGTGACGCGGCGCGGCGCAGACGGACCCAGTGGAAACTGGGAGCCAGACAAAAAAACATTTTGAAATTAAACCACATTGTGATTATTTATCACACCAATTTTCAATGATATTGTTTTTACATAATCATGCAGCGGCAGATAAAAATCCAATGGTTAACAACCACATTGAAGTTTTTTTTACCTCTCCATTTTCCTCAATCTCCATGTCTTTAAATCAGTCTTAGTAGTATTTTTGTGAAATGCTACAAAACAGTGTCTGCATGGGTTTAACTGTCATGATAAGGAAAATAAATAATGATGTGCTGAACATAATATGCGAAAAAAGAATCCCTCTTCTGCAGGCAGTAGTTGCTCAAATGAAAGAAGACGATAAATAGAGCTGCAGAGTCTACCCAAGTTAAGTTTGGTGTCTAGTGACCTAGCGTATCGTTATAAAATAAGGAAATGTATGGAGTTCTTATCATGAATAAATAAGAAATCGCCTTTCTTCCTGTGTGCAGAGACAACTACACTCTCCAAATCAACCCTAACTCCGGCCTGTGCAACGAGGATCACCTCTCCTACTTCAAGTTCATCGGACGTGTGGCAGGAATGGCCGTGTTTCATGGAAAGCTGCTGGATGGTAAGCTGCCTGATGTTGGATACAGTCTTTCAGATTAGACATTTATTTGGAAGAAAGGTGATATGATATTGTATGTTTTTAAGCTTGTTTCCACACACCTACATTAACAGCACTGTGTTTTGTTCTGCTTTGTTTTAGGTTTTTTCATCAGACCCTTCTACAAGATGATGCTGGGAAAACAGATCTCCCTTAAAGACATGGAGTCAGTGGTAAGAGCTCAAGCTGCTATATTATTAACTGACGAATCATTATTCTTTTAAATCTTAAACTTGGCTTTGTGAAAAAGACTAAAATATGCATTTAGTGAGTATGCTTGAAATCTGCTAATTTATATATATGTTGTTCTCAATCCATTCTGTTTAAACTTGTTATATTAGCACAGTTACAAGTAAAGGTTGGGCTAAACTAATATTATTCTTATTTGAGTCAATATTTGCTGACATTTTGCATTTTAGAAACATTTTCACTGCAGTCAATAAAATGTTTGCTCTCCTGCGTGCTACACAAAGGGAGGCATGCACTGCCGATCAATGCCTTTTTAATAGAGCTTCAAATGAGAGAACAGAAATAACAACCAAAGAAGAGAGAAATAACATTTGGCTGCAAATATAAGCCAATGAATGACTGTGTGTTCTTTGTGTGTAACTGTGTATCTGCCCTGTGTTGCCCGCCTGCAGGACAGTGAGTACTACAACTCTCTGAAGTGGATTCTGGAGAACGACCCCACTGAGCTGGACCTCAGGTTCTGTATAGACGAGGACAACTTTGGACAGGTGTGCACGCCCAAAAGCAGTCACTATTTTCAATGTTGATAAAAAAATGAATGGGATTAGTGTCTGGAGTGTGCATGGCTTTATTTTCTTTGTGTTTCTTTTCTTTTTCAGACGTACCAGGTGGACCTGAAGCCCAGCGGCTCAGACATGGTGGTCACCAATGAGAACAAAAAGGAATACATAGAGTAAGAACATCACAAATCATTCTCTTTTTACGAGTAGTAACAGGCACTAAGTCATGAATACAATGACATGTCATTATTAACATGAGTCCAACAATCTTTCTTCTGTCAGCCTGGTCATCCAGTGGAGGTTTGTCAACCGGGTCCAGAAGCAGATGAACGCCTTCCTGGAGGTATTTATGTGCAATAATACCGTCGCCACATGGGGGCGATGTGGCGACGGACCTTGTGCATGAGGCCCTCTGTACCTACACGTAAACCTTTCCACTGAATATGTGTAGCTTTTAAACTTTAAAACATCTCAGTTATTAAGTGGGAGGTTATGTTGTTACATTGCTACAGTTAAACAACCATGAAGAGAATTTAATCCCCCTTGTGTTCCATTTTCAGGGCTTCACTGAGCTTATTATCATCGATCTGATCAAGATCTTTGATGAAAATGAACTGGAGGTACAGTATGGATTCTTTATTCTATCTGTTTTATGCTCTGATTATCACACAATGAGCATTTCAACTTAACAAATAGTTTTAATCACATCTTTCTCATCTGCCCTCTGTCTGCCCAGCTGCTCATGTGTGGTCTGGGTGACGTCGACGTCAACGACTGGAGGCAACACACTGTTTACAAGAACGGCTACTGTCCCAACCATCCTGTCATACAGTGGTTCTGGAAGGTATGACTGACACACACACACACACAACACACCCACCACACACAAGAACAACACACACAACACACACACACAACTGACACAAACACACACACACACACACAACAACACACACCACACAACCACACCATAACACAAACACACACACACACACACACACACCACACAACACACAACACACACACACACACACACACACACACACCACACACACACACACACCACACA